GTGTATGCTTCTGTGTCTTTTTCACTTTAAAAACTGGGGAACCAAATCCTGTGAGAAAAACCACAGCAGCCAGCCCCCCGCCTCTGAAACGAACGGTGTGGTTCATCTATAGCAGTGCCCCCTTACCCACCGACTTGCTGTCTGTGGTTTCAGTCACCACAGTCAGCCATGCTCTGGAAAGATTCCATGAAAACTCCTAGAAATAGACAACTCATCGATTCGATTTTTTTTAAAGATTTATTTATTTCAAAGTCACATTTACACAGAGAGAGGAGAGAGAGAGAGAGAGAGAGAGGTCTTCCATCTGCTGGTTCACCCTCTAATTGGCTGCAACAGCCGGAGCTGCGCTGATCCGAAGCCAGGAGCCAGGAGCTTCCTTCAGGTTTCCCACGCAGATGCAGGGGCCCAAGGACTTGGGCCATCTTCTACTGCTTTCCCAGGCCACAGCAGAGAACTGGAACGGAAGTGGAGCAGCTGGGACTGGAACCAGTGCCCATATGGGATGCCAGCACTGCGGGCAGTGGCTTTACCCACTATGGCACAGCACCGGCCCGTATCCATTTTAAGTTGTGCAGTGTCTGGATGCAGTCCCTCCACCCCACCCTGTCCCAGTGTGTCCCGTCACTGGGTGGTGTCTGGGTGATCAGCTCATCTGCCACAGTGGCACAGTGTCGTGTCAGAGCAGCCTGTTGGGTGGCTCAGCCCTGCACCACGGGGCCTGCATCATCCCTTATTACACGTCAGCCTCACAGGAAGGGAGACCACACTCACATAGCTTCCCTTACAATTTTATAATTGTTCTAGTTCGTTATTTTTGAAGATTTTACTTTATTTGAAAGAGTGACAGAAGAAAGAAAAAGATCTTCCAGGGCTGACACGGTGGAGTTGCGGGTAAAGCCACTGCCTGCAGTGCCAGCATCCCATTTGGATGTCAGTTCGAGTCCCAGCGGCTCCACTTCTGATCCAGCTCTCTGCTATGGCCTGGGAAAGCAGTGGAGGATGGCCCAAGTCCTTGGGCCACTGCACCTACATGAGAGACCTAGAAAAAGCTCCTGGCTCTGGATTGACTCAGCTCCAGCGTGAACCAGCAGATGGAAGACTTCTCTTCCCTCTCTCTCTCTCTCTCTGCCTCTGCCTCTGCCTCTGCCTGTCTGTAACAGTGTGTTTCAGTATGTTCCAAATGAGATAAATAAATCTTTACAAAAAAAAAAAAAACAAACTCTTCCATCTGCTGGTTCACTCCCCCAAATGAATGCAGTAATGCAATGGCTGAGGCTGGGCCAGGCCGAAGGCAGGAACCTGGAACTCCAAACTGATAGGACTTGAGCCGTCATCCACTGCTTTCCTAGGCACTTTAGCAGGGAGCTGGATTGGAAGCAGAGCAGCCAGGACTCAAACCAGTGCTCTGATATGGGATGCCAGCATCCCAGGCAGCAGCTAAGTAAGGCTAACCCACTGTGCCACAATGCTGGTGCCGTCGATTAAACTTTATTACAGACATGTACGCAGAGGACCAAACAGAGCAAGTGTAGGGCTTGGCACTCATCCTGGTCTCTGGCATCCACGGGAGTCTTGGAACGTATCCCCTGCTCATAAGTGGGGGCTTCTGTCATGGCGTTCAGGTGAGAAGAGTTGGGTCAGGACAGGGAGGTTAACAAGGTAGCGGACGACCCCCGAGTCTCAGCCACCTTTACAGCAGGTTTGCTCCCAGCTCCCTGGGTCAGCGCATGGTTCCTGCTCTGTAGTGTCTTGGGGACCCAGGCTGGCAGGGGCTTCATCTCAGCCGTGTCACCGTGATCTCCAAGGCAGGGCAAAGAGAACCCGATGAGCTATGAGCTGGCTCTCAAAGCCTGTGCAGAAGTGACTCGTAATTCACTCATCTCGTTGGCCACAGCAAGTCGTGGTGCCGTGCCTGGGTTCAAACGGCCAGAATAATGGTGTCCTACTGTGTGCGTAGACTGAGGAACCAAGCACTGGCACCCCTGGTGCCCCTTCCTCAGATGGTGGAAGTCCCAGCAGTGACTTAAAAAGAGGAATAAACAGAAATAGCTGTTGCAGGCAAAGGCGGCTGTGAGCTCTGCTACTCCTGGACCCCAGCAGAGCCCATGACGGTCGAGCATCCCTTACCCAAAACGCGTGGGCCAGAAGCGCTTCAGGCTTCTGAATTCCTCAGATTCTGGAATATTTGCATAGACTTCACCCAGAACCCAAAATGACTCGGGTTTCTGCGCCTTCTGGATTTGGCTCTTTACCTGGGGGATGGATGTTCAGCCTGCGCTGCGTCATCGCAAAGCCACCAGAGCGCCTACAACCCGGTTCTCCCAAGAGCTGTGTCCTCAGGGCCGGCCGGGTGCTGGGCACCTGCTGTCCTGCCTGCCTGGGCCTGGGCCTGGAGGCGCCCACGGTGAAACGTGCCGTTTGCTGCCCACCGCCCACATTCGCCTCCTACGGGCTGCTGCGACCGGCTTGTTCTCAGTCTGTTACGGTGTGTGATTTAAGTGGCTTCCTCAGTTCTTTTTTTGGACGTAAGCACATTTCACAGGTGATTTTGTTGGCTGTCCTCTGTGAAGGGAACCAGACACCTCATAAATAATTGAAGGAATTTCTTGATGACCTCTGGTTGTATCTGATTTTTTCCTAATGTGGTTTTTATGGCATCCGAGAGCTCATTTTCTTCCCTCTCGGCCCTCGACCTCTGACCTAAACTGAGAGTGTGTTCCAAAGGGAGGAACATTTTCCCTGCTTTTTAAAGAAGAGAACAGTGAGGCCCGTTAAGACATAGGGCCCAGCAGGGACTGGCGATTCTGAGGCCCGGGCAGGAAGGCAGGTGGTTTTAGGCACCGTGCAAAGTACTGGGGGATGGGGGTGGTGGAGAGGAGGCGCCTGCCTGCCGGCCCCCTGCTGCCCGCGAGGAAGAGTCCACCGGGTGGACGGGAAGGGCTTTCGGGCAGGGGCTGCAGAGCACAGGTGGGAACCACAGATGGTTCCGTGCAGTTGCAAGCACACGGGTAGACGAAGCAGGCAGGAGTCATCGCATGTGTTGTTGCGCCTTTGTTAGGGACCTCCCAGCCCTGGCGCTCTATGCCGGGACAAGCAGCATCGATCTGGTCCCACTCTTCTTTTTTTTTTTTTTTCTTTATTTTTTTTTTTAAATTTTTTGACAGGCAGAGTAGACAGTGAGAATAGTGAGAGAGAGACAGACAGAGAGAAAGGTCTTCCTTTTGCCGTTGGTTCACCCTCCAATGGCTGCTGCAGCCAGCGCGCTGCGGCCGGCGCACCGCGCTGATCTGATGGCAGGAGCCAGGTACTTCTCCTGGTCTCCCATGGGGTGCAGGGCCCAAGCACCTGGGCCATCCTCCACTGCACTCCCTGGCCACAGCAGAGAGCTGGCCTGGAAGAGGGGCAACCGGGACAGAATCCGGCGCCCCGACCAGGACTAGAACCCGGTGTGCCGGCGCTGCAAGGCGGAGGATTAGCCTAGTGAGCCGCGGTGCCGGCCTGGTCCCACTCTTGACCATGTGCATGGGGTACAACCAAAATCCACCTCTGCCTTAGCAGAGACGAGTCAGGATCCTGCCTGCAGAAGACCTGCTCAGCGTCCCCCTGCTCCAGTCCACGGGGCGGTGGCGTCTCCTCATGTGGACCGGGGTCACTCCCAGCACAATCCCCGAGCCGTGGAGATGCCAGGAGTCACAGCCTGGAAGCCTGCTCCTCCCCTCCTCCCGGTCTGTGTCTTCTCGGTGACCCCCCACTCGGAGCCACCTGGCTGCAAGGCTGAGCTGGAAGAAGGAGGGGACACTATAAACTGCCTCCCCTCCCTGAGCAAAGACCCAGGGCTTTCCACAGCACACAGAGTAGAGTCTTTATAGGGCAGGAGGGTGCCTGACCCGGCGCAGCCTGTGTTGGCTTCAGCTCCTGAGAGAGAAGCACACAACCCTCACCTGTGCATGGCTTCCCAGGTGTGACCAAGAACCTGGCCCAGTAGTGACAAGGTCTCTCTGCTACCTGCTTCTTTTCCACCACTGCTGGGGCTTCCCCAGGCACCTGTGGCCCAGAGCCTGGTTCACAGCCCCCCAGGCCCTCCACGTGCTGTCCCTGTCCCCTCGCCCCACGTGTCGCTCACGGCCACTCCAAGCCTGGTCGTGCTCCTGCCATGCTAAGTCTCGCCGCCGCCTGCCTCATGACTGTCACTTCTCATTGGTTTTCCAGGCCCTGCAGAGTAACCTGAAGTATTCCTTGCTGCCGCGCCGGCTCTTAATCAGCAAGAGACTAGCCCAGTGCCTGCATCCTGCTCTGCCCAGCGGTGTGCACTTAAAAGCCCTGGAAACCTACGAGATTATCTTTAAAATTGTGGGGACCAGATGGCTGGCCAAGGACTTGTTCCTTTACAGGTATGGTTGCTTATTGCCCGAATAGTTCACGTTTCAGTTCACAAGGTTGGGAAATGGCGAACAAGCAAAATAAGCTTGGGGGCACCCAGGTGCCTCAGCCCTAAAGCCATCACCAGGAGATGGCCCTGGCACACCTGCTGGGGGATCTCCGTGCATTTTGTGGGAGATCCGGGCGTGCATCCAGCTTGGCTGCCCGCCCTGGTGTGTTGTGGCTGTGTCACGTCTGGCATCTCCACCACCCGGGTGAACAGCCTTGCTCCGCTGGCTTGTCATCTGGAGCGTCTGACACCGTGTCTTGCTTCTCCCCCCGCCCCCTTCTTTGTTCTCCAAGCTGCGGCCTGTTCCCACTCCTGGCGCACGCGGCGATGTCGGTGCGGCCCGTGCTGCTGGGCCTGTACGAGAGGTACTTCCTTCCACTGCAGAAGCTGCTGCTGCCCAGCCTGCAGGCCTTCCTCGTGGGCCTGCTGCCCGGCCTGGAGGAGGGCTCCGAGATCTATGACAGGTGAGTGGCGGCTTGCCCAGTGCCAACGGTTTGTGCCCATCTGGCCCGTGTTCGTCCCACTGCAGCTGTCCCTTGATACCTCCAGGGGACTGGTTCCAGGCTCCCCACGGATGTGCGAGTCCCTTATGTAAGATGCTATAGTGTTTACAGATTACCTGGGCACGTCCTTCCCTGTACGATTGACTGCCAGCCTCGTGCAGCCCAAGTGTCCTGGCGATAGCTATTAGAGGTTGGAGGTTAGGGAGGAGCGGCATGGGGCGGAGCCACGCGTGTTTAACACAGACACATCTCTGTTTCTGAGCATTCTTGGTCCTTGAACGTCTGGCTGCAGGCCCTGCGGCTGGCGAGGGCCACTTGCACAACAGAAGGAAGTGCTGGGACACGCGGAGCGGCCGGGAGGTGCAGGGGGAGGGGTGGCGTCTCCTGTCTCTCTGGTGGCCGCCTGTCAGAGCACAGTGCTGTCCCAGGATCCTTGCTGCATCACCCCCAGAGGGCTGGAGAACTGAGACCCTGCACCCAGAGACACGGAACAGGCCGGGGAAGGAGGCCCAGGGTCCCCGTCACACCCCGCCTGCCGCAGAGTTGTCCGTATGGTCGCGGTTTACAGAGCGAGGACACACATGCACACCTCCTTCCGCGGTGGTCACACTGGGCCGTACTGGGCCATACTGGGCCCTCGCACCGTGCCTCCTGCACATTGTCTCATCGAGCTCCTGTGTGGCTACAGGTAGGGTGGACAGGTGTGGGGGCTCCCCGGCCCCGCATGTGTCAGACACCAAAACAGTCCCTGTTTCAACTTCCAAGTAAAGCACCAAGTCCAGTTCTCAGGCGGGCAGGGTGTGGACAGGCGAGGTGGTGAGGCAGCCGCCCTGCCCCATCTCACAGCCCCCGGGAGGACCTCGGAAGCCCTAGCGCACAAGAGCTCACGCCCGGTATTTTACATGATTTGGGGGTCCTTTTAGTCACTACTTGGGACCAAGAGAAAGGTCGTTCAAGACAACTGCGTATCCCCAGTGCTGTGTTTTCTGTTGGATCCTAAAGCACGAACTCACTTCAGGTGCATTCCCCGGTCTCCGAGGCATTGCTGGGACCCGCTTCTGTGCATCCTACAAGCCCACGCTCAATGACAGGGACTCTGCCCCAGCTTCCACCGGCTCACACAACGCTGCGCCTGCACATCCCCACCGAGGCGGCCCCAGCACCACCCACGCCTGTGTTGGTGACAACCGGGAGAGTCAGCTGCTCCTGGGCAGCTCGTGGTGTTCCCCTGCACCTGAAGAAACCACGTAATCACCGTGGCTGGAGGGGTGTGGCCGGAGACCCAGGGTGCCATTCTGAGCGTATGCACTGGGATTTGACAAACGCAACTGGAAGCCTGCACCCTGCTGTCTCTGGCTCTCCCGTAGACCTGCACCCAGCTGCCTCGGACTGTCCTGTAGACCAGGTGTTGGCCCTGTGTCTCCCTGCCCAGCTATGTGGCTGCTTCCGTAGGAGGCACAACCTGTCTTCCCGCCTGAGCCTGACAGCTCACTCTGTGTGCAGCAGTGTGTAGAGATCATGGGCGCTCCAGGTGCCAGCTGGAGGACCCCTGTCAGACCCGTGGCCCCTGCCTCTTCACCCCAGCTCTTTCTAGAGGTCCTGCGGTGTCCACGTCCTCGTTTACACGTGTGTCGGGGATTGTAGAGAGTGTGCTGTTACGCAGCAGAGTAAGCCACCTCTTGGGACATTGCGTCCTGTATCAGGGTTGGTTCGAATCCCAGCTGTTTTTTTTTTTTTTTTAATTATTTATTTATTTGAAAAGCAGAGGAGCAGAGAGAGAAAGAAAGAGGTTGTCCTCAAAAGTTCATAGAAAATGTACATTATCCTTTTTTGAAAGGCAGAGTGACAGAGGAAGATCTTGCATTCGCTGATTCACTCCCCAGATGCCTGCAACAGCGAGGGCTGGGCCAGACCAAAGCCAGGAGCCCAGAATTCCGTCTGATCTCCCATGGGAGTGGCAAAACCCCAAGTACCTGGGCCCTCAGCTGCTGCCTCGCGGGCACAAGAGCAGGAAGCTGTGTTGGAAGCAGAGCAGCCAGGACTTGAGGCCACACTCCAGTACGGGATTGGGTGTCCCAAGTGGCTGCATACGCTGCCGCACCCCAACACCCTCAGAGCACATCGCCTGTTCCATGTTTTCCAGGAGCTGTTTGCAGTCCCCTCAGATGACAAATGAACAGAGTCCCAATATTTATTGTAGTCTTTTAAATCTCTAAGTGTGAATCACACCAGTTGGACTGTTTTTATTTGTTTTCCTACTTGATAAATGAGGGTTCATTGGAACAGTTGCTCGAGTTGCTTAACAGGGATGACTCTTCCCTAATGTTGTGGATTCTCGCCATTGAACCACACGCTGAGCGAAGCTGCGTGAATCACTGAGCAGATGGGAGCTGTGACAGAAGAGCAAGCAGTGCCTGCGGCACCCAGAGGCTCTCGGCATCCCACGCTGGGTGCTGGTCGAAGGTCATGTGACCCCTGGCTGGGCTTGGGCAGCGCAGTCATGGAAGTGACAGTAAAAGTTTGGCTTTGTGGCTGTGTCCATTTCAGTCTGAGACGGTTTGGCAGCTCTTGGCTCCCAGAAGCACTTGGGAATGGAATGAAGATTGCGCAGAGACAGGGGTGGGGAGTGGGGGTAGAGGTCACAATGGCCAGGCTGGCAGAAATTGCAAAGGGGCGCGTTCAGTGGAGGCCAGCGGACTCAGCAGTGACTCACGAACCTGACGTGGGCAGACGGTCCCTGCAGTGCTTGTTAGCTAGCCGGGAGGGATGGACGTTTTGGCCAGTGTTAAGCCATGTCATTCACCCTGACTTCCTAACCCTTCGAGGCCTGCCAAGTCTCTTCTGGCCAACACTGGCCAGAAACCCTTTTATGCAGTGCCCATGAGACAGCCACATGGCTGTGTTTTGCTGTAAGTAACAAGAATAGCAGGAGGAAAACACTCAACTTTTAAATGAGGTAAGGGGAAGTGAATGTTGTAAATGGGTTTTGAGAAACCAAGGACTGGCTCACTGGAAATTTCCACTTAAATCAGTGCTTCCGGGGTGGGTGTTTGGCTCTGTATTTTTTTCTTAAGATTTATTTATTTATTTGAAAGGCAGAGTTACAGAGAGACAAAGGCAGAGAGAGAATCCATCTGCTGATTCACTCCCCAGAGCGCCACAACGTCCGGAGCTGGGCCAATCCAAAGCCAGGAGCCAGGAGCTTCTTCTAGGCCTCCCACACAGGTGCAGGGGCCCAAGGACTTAGGCCGTTTTCCGCTGTTTTCCCAGGCACGTTAGCAGGGAGCTGGATTGGAAATGGAACAACCAGAACTCAAACTGACACCCATATGGGATGCTGGCACTGCAGGCAGCGGCTTTACCCACTACACCACAGCACTGGCCCCAAAGGCATTGCATTTTAGATGCTACCTAGGACAGCCCGCGTTCCCTGTTGGAGTGTGTGGGTTTGAGTCCTGCCTCTGCTTCTGACTCCAGCTTCCTACTAATGTGTACCTTGGGAGGCAGCAGGCGATGACTCGGGGTTCCTGCCACTCATATGGGAGACCCAGATGAAGTTCCGGCCTCCTGGCTTCAGCCTGGTCCAGCCACAGCTATTACGGGCATCTAGGGGAATGAACGTTAATGATGGGACCCTTCTGTGTGCATAGGTGCGTGTGTGTCTGTCTGTCTCTCTCACTCTGTCTCTCCGCCTTTGAAACAAATGAAAATGCAAATTTAAAGCCATGGTTCTCCCCAGGGGTGATGTTGCCCTGGGCTGCTTGGCAGTATCTGGAGACGTTTGTAGTTGGTGCAGCTGGGGGCTAGGGTCAGAGGCTAGGGTGCGAGCAGCTGACCCCATGACAAAGACGTAGCCACCCTGAATGTCGCAGCGTCAGGACAGAGGAGCCCCGATTGAAGTAGTTGGAAACATCATGGCCGCATCCCCAGGTGCCTCTGCGCTGCACAAGGCTTCCACGGTGATGTTCTCAGAGCTGTCTGCTCAGCTTCTAACCAATCAATAGCTCCCGCCACCAAACCGCCCTGCGCGCCTCCCGAAACGTTTGGCGGTCAACCCTTCTGTTGTTTTTATCTTCCTAAACAATCGGAGCAGACATCGTTTCTTATGAATATTTTATGAGACAGAAAGCTTCAGGCTCGGGACGGGTGTTCAGGCCGCTGCTTGGTAGACCTGCATCCCATACCAGTGTGCTGGTTCCCGGCTGTGCTGCTTCTGATCCAGCTCCCTGCCAGTGCACCTGGGAAGCATCAGCTGATGGCCCAAGTGCTTGAGTTCCTGCCGCCCACACGGAAGATCCAGATGGAGCTCGTGGCTCCTGGCTTCCGCCTGGCCCGACCCCAGCTATCGTAGCCAGATCTCTTTCTCCCATTCTCTCTCCCTCTGTCACTCTGCCTTTCAAATACATAAATCCATGTTTTAAAAAAAAAAGCTCCAGGCTCATTTTGAAGAAAAAGAGCATCCACCTATAATTTATAAAGGTGGTAGATACTTTTTGTGTGAAATATTGTTGTGTCCACTCAACTGATTGTTGCAAAGTGCTCCAAAGATGCCTGGGGGTGCAGGCGATGGTGGCGCTCATCTGATGGATTTCAGACACACCCCCGTGCTCAGGGTGGGGCAGCCCGGGGCCTGGCGCACAGGCAGCGTGCCCTGAGCATCAGAGGACTTTCCTGCAGAGTCTCTCTTCGTTCTCACTGCATCTCCACAAACCAGAGGCTCTGCCTGTCTCAGGGTGGAGGTTCAACTTGTCCTGCGTCGCCCAGCCAGAAGGCACCACGGCCAGGGTCTAGACATCCAACTGCTGGGGTCCGTGTCACACTGGACTAGTCCTGTCATTTTTCCCCCGTTTTCTTTGCAAATAGGGAGCATGAGAAGGAACGAGAATTCTGACAGCCTCTGAGTCAGGTCATTCAGTAGGGAACGCCTGTGCTGTGTTGTTGGAAGGTGTGCCCACCGAGCCCACACGTAGTTTCTTGGTTGGTAGGCAAGGCCCCTCCCTTAGCAGCAGGTGCACCTGGAGCAGGGCAGAGTCTGTGGGGAAACAAGGCCTGACCCCACAACGGCGCCACTGCTCCTGCAAAGGTGCTGACTGGGCATCATGGGAGACCCAGATCAAGATAAGGGGGCATCAGATCTAAGACCTCGGCACACGAGGCTCACAGAGCAGAGCTGGCGTGCAGAGGTGCTGTGGGCCAGGTGAAGGAAAGCACCGCCCCAGGGCTCATGGCGCTGGCAAGATGGCGCGAGGCCTGGGTGGATTTTGCCCCTGTGTTTCTAAATTCAGATGGCACTTGGCACACTTGGGGCCGTGCTCAGGTGGCAGGCACCTCCATCTCTGCTTCCATCAGTCCCTTGTTGGGAGAGGCCGAGGGACACAGAGTTCTCACCTGCTGAGTCACTCCCCAAATGCCCTCAACAGCCAGGGCTGGGCCAGGCCAAAACTGGGAGGCAAGGGTTCATCCAGTTGGCAAGGTCCCAACTGTTAACCATGACCTGTTGCCTCTCGGGTCTGCATTAGCAGGAAGCTGGAGTCAAGCCAGAGCCACGACCAAACCCAGATACTAATGAGGGGATGTTGGCATCTTAGCCACTGAGCCAAACACCAACCCCTTATACCTTTTTTTGTTTAATGTTTATTTATTTATTTGAAAGGCAGAGTTACAGAGAGGCAAGGGCACAGAGGGATAGAGAGAGGTCTTCCATCCACTGGTTCACTCCCCAGATGGCCACAATGGCTGGAGTTGTTGCCGATCTGAAGCCAGGAGCTTCTTCGAGTTTCCTATGCGGATACAGAGGCCCAAGGACTTGGGCCATCTTGTACTGCTTTTCCAGGCCACAGCAGAGAGCTAGTTCAGAAGTGGAGCAGCCAGGCCAGCGCCGCGGCTCACTAGGCTAATCCTCCGCCTAGCGGCGCCGGCACACCGGGTTCTAGTCCCGGTCGGGGCACCGGATTCTGTCCCGGTTGCCCCTCTTCCAGGCCAGCCCTCTGCTGTGGCCCGGGAGTGCAGTGGAGGATGGCCCAGGCGCTTGGGCCCTGCACCCCATGGGAGACCAGGAAAAGCACCTGGCTCCTGGCTCCTGCCATCGGATCAGCGCGGTGCGCCGGCCACATCGCGCTGGCCGCGGCGGCCATTGGAGGGTGAACCAACGGCAAAGGAAGACCTTTCTCTCTGTCTCTCTCTCATTGTCCACTCTGCCTGTCAAAAAAAAAAAAAAAAAAAAAAAAGAAGTGGAGCAGCCAGGACTTGAACCGGCGCCCATATGGAAGCCGGCACTGCAGGTGGCAGCTTTACCTGCTGTGCCACAGTGCCGGCCCCGCCCGGATGCTTTCATGTAAAGTGGCCTGTCTGCTTGTGCCCTTTTCATCATCCTTTCCTGAGCGCCGCGGTAACTGTGGCCAGGCTGGGGGCAGAGGTGGCGTCTGTGCCACTGTGGCAGGGCCATCAGAAGTGGCACCTCTGAGAGACACATTTGCTTCAGCACGTTGGTATCGCCCATGACACATGGCACATGGACAGCCCAGAAGGGCAAGCGATGGCAGCAGGTCACGGCGACGGGGAGGATGGTGAGCTCCCGAGACAGGATGACCCCCGGGGAGCCAGGGACGTGCCGGTCACTCTGCTGTCTCCCCACAGGACCGACGCCCTGCTGCTGAAGCTGTCACTGGTCGTGGGCAGGGAGGTATTCTACGCAGCCCTGTGGGGGAGCGTGCTGGCCAGCCCAGCTGTCCGCCTGCCCGCCTCGCTCTTCATGGTGGGCCACATCAGCAGGGACTTGCCCGGCAAGGAGCAGAAGTACATGCTGGGCACGGACTTCCATCTCACGGTGAGTGCTCCACCCCTCCTGGGGGCGCAGGTGGGCATGGGGGGAGCGAGGGCGCTCCCAGGATGTGCGGGGAGGCAGCATGATGTGACGGGGTGGGCAGGAGTGGTTCAGCACAGACGTGAGGGTTTGGGCACCCAAGGAGGGCTCAGCGGGGCTCTCAGCCCCTGCACGCACAGCGCGCTCCTGTAGCTAGAATCCCACTTCCTCCGCCTGCCCATCACCCCTGTGCCCCCGCCACACTGCTCACACGGCCCCTCCCCTGGCTCTCAGCCCTGTGTAGTCAGGGTTCCCGGACGTCGGTCTCCAGGCCCTTCCCTGGCAAGAACGTCGGGACCCTAACTCAAGCTTTGGTTCTTTCCCCAATCAGGCCACTTGTTTTAATGGCTTGAGGTCTGTCGCCACCTGGTGGTGGACCCACTAGTGGCATTTCAGATGTGCACTGGTGTTCTTAGGACAACTGCCACTTGTGCACAGTATTTGCCTCTGTGACTCCATCTCTCCTCGCAAAGCGAAGATGCAGATCTGCCTGGGGATTAAGAAGGAAGAGCCCCTTGCATGGGGACGGAAACATCGGAGACCCCCATGAATGCATTTCCTCTCTCCCAGCCCTGTCGACATCACCTCTCTCTTTCTCTCCATTTCATAATCCTGCTTCAGCTACCCAGGCCTTGCCCCTGGCCAAAGACGTCATTTTCTCTCCAATACGTTCTACTCCTGTCTCACTAAAAGATTTGCTTTTCTCCTTTTTTGAAATTGTATTTATCTGAAAGGAAAAGACAGAGAGCGTCCATCTGCTAGTTCACTCCTTAAATGACCTCAGCAGGTGGAGCTGGACCAAGCCAAAGCCAGGATCCAGGAGCTTCATACAGGTCTCCCACGTGGGTGGCAGGGGCCCTGGTTCTGGGGCCATCACCCACTGCTTTCCCTGGCGCGTTATTAGCAGGGAGCGGTGGGAAGCCAAGCAGCTGGGACTCGTACCGCCACTGCACTGTGGCCGGCTGGCGTCAGAAGCAGCAGCCTCACCTGCTGTTCCACAACAGCGGCCCCGGAGGTTTGCTTTGCTAAAGCATGGCGTCGCCCGTGTCCATCTCATCCTTATGAGTATTTGGCACCCGAGGCCAGGCGCTGCATTCCGGCAGTCTGTCCCAGCCTGCCGCCCCCGCAGGCCCTCTGCGCTCCCGCACAGCTGCCCCAGTGCAAGGCTCGGTTTGGCCACGCGGTTTCTTTGCTCTCGCCCATGAAGGAGCCCTCCGTCTGCTCTCCTGCGTTCTCTCAGCTGTGACGCACCTGTACTTGGGAGATGGCGGCATGGATTGAGTTGATTTGGATTCCCTCTGACCCTGTGTCCTCAGAGTTTTAGTTTAACCCAGGCTTCCTGGTGGGTCCCCTCTGGGGTTGTAGATGCGGAAGTGTGAGAAGCCAGCCACGTGGCCAAGACCCCTGCAGCTCAGAGGTGAGGGCCACGTCTTCCCAAGGCCATGCGGCACCCCCACCCATGGCTAAAGTGAGGCTGCGCCTTCGCGACCTGCAAACTCCTGTTCTCTCCCACTTGGTCTTCATGTGGTGGCACCAACCCTCCCAGGAAGTCTTCCTTGCATTCTTATGACTGAAGCGTAGTCTGGGAGCCAGTATTGTGGCATAGACGGTTAAGCTGCTGCCTGCAGTGCCGGCATTCCATATCAGGGCGCCAGTTCAAGTCCCCGCTGCTCCACTGCTGATCCAGCTCCCTGCTAATGCACCTGGGAAAGTGGCAGAAGATGGTCCGAGGGCCATCTGCCACCATGTGGGAGACTCAGATGGAGTTCCTAGCTCCTGGCTTCGGCCTGGCCCAGCCCTGGCTGTTAAAACCATCTGGGGAGTGAACCAGTAGATGGAAGATTCATATTCTCTCTCTCTCTCTCTCTCTCTCTCTCTCTCTCTCTGTGTGTGTGTGTGTGTGTGTGTGTATTTAACTCTCCTTTCAAATAAATAAGCCTTAGACAGTAGCCTGTAATGACGTCACACGTCTGTGAAATGAACCGTTTCTGCCATGTGTCGTATGCAGGTGAAGTCTCTGTGTGCATCGCTGCTGGACTCAAATGTTCTCGTGCAGAGAAACAATCTGGAGATTGTCCTGTTTTTCTTCCCGTTCTATACCTGTCTGGTAAGTCGTGGCGCCCTGCTGGGGGGTGGGGTGTCACTGCTGTTGGCGCCCTGCTGGGGGGTGGGGTGTCACTGCTGTTGTCTGCAGAGTCAGGGGCTGGGGGGTGGGGCGTGGCTCTCTGTCCCACACAGAGTTCAGCCATGCGTGGATCGTCATGCACTTTCAGCCCCTGACAGCGTCTTCAGGACGCTGTTTCCACGCAGATGCCCAGTAGCTTCTGTCCACAGCTGCCGTGCAGAGAGCTGTGTCTTGGGCTGAGGCTTTGTGGACGGCTGAGGGCGCTGCGCCTTGCGGTAAGCTTTTCTCTGTCTCCCGCACAGGATCCCAGCGAGAGCGCCATCCCCCTGCCGCGGTCCGACGTGGTCCGCATGCTCTCGGCCGCCACCCAGACCCTGCTGAGGAGGGACATGTCTCTCAACAGGAGGCTCTACGCCTGGCTCCTCGGTACCGCGTCGCGGGCGCCCGTTCCCGGTTCCCACCTGGGTGCTGTGTTTCTGGCTGGTGAAATGCAGAAAGAAACCACACGAGTAGCGCAGCAGCGGTCAGCTGAGGCCTCCCACTCCCACGGCGCGTGGCTTGTTTTTAAAAGGAAATGGGAAGTGGGATTTTTTTTTTTTTAGTGCCAACTGAGTTCCGTTTTAAGAGCATGAGAGTGACACGGCGGGTTAAGCCACCCTTGGAATGCCGCGTCCCATATCAGAGTGCGCAGAATCGAAGCCTGCCTGTGCTTCTGATCCAGCTTCCTGCTGATGCACTTAGTGGGGCAGCAGGTGATGGCTCAGGCCGCCCACAGGGGAGACCTGGATGGGGCTCCTGGCTCCTGGCTTTCACCTGGCCCAGCCACGGCTGTTGCCGTTGTTTGGGAAGTGAACCAGCAGATAGAAGTTCTCTCTCTGTCTCTGTATTCTACCTTTCAGATAACTAAACTTTTTTTAAAAGAGCATGAAATGCCACCTAGACATTGTAGCTAAACCTTATTCAGGTGGAAGCCTGGCTGTAGAGAAGCTTCCTGGGATGAGAGTGGGTGGGGCGTGAGCGGATGAGGGGAGGGTTCCATACGGATGGGAGGGTTCCCTGGGATGTTGAGTGATTGGGGCCTCAGCTGGAGAGGGAAAGGTTCCTGGGATGAGAACTGAGTGGGACGTGAGCGGGGGAGGGGAGGGTTCCTGGGATGAGAGTGAGTGGGACGTGAGCGGGTGAGGGGAGGGTTCCTGGGATGAGAGTGAGTGGGACTGAGCGGGTGAGGGGAGGGTTCCTGGGATGAGAGTGAGTGGGACGTGAGCGGGTGAGGGGAGGGTTCCTGGGATGAGAATGGGTGGGACATGAGCGGGTGAGGGGAGGGTTCCTGGGACGTGAGCGGGTGAGGGGAGGTTCTGTAGGAGAGGAGTGTTGGTGGGCCTGAGGAGGGCAGGAGGACCCTGTGTTGTGTTTCTGTGGTCAGCCTGCACACTCACAGGCAGAGCCCTTGACTGTGGTCAGAAGGGACAGAGTCTGAGAAATCACGGAGCAGAGAGGGCAGAGTTGGAGGAATTTTTTACGAATTCTCACATTTGTGTACCCAAGACAGGTTGGAGAAAGGACACAGCTGTTCTTAACCCTCAGGGTACAGATCTGACCACGCCAGCCTCAGGGCGCCCTCCTCAGCCTTCCTGTTACAAAACTCTCAACAGCCATAGCGTGATGACTTGCTACGGATATTTGGGAGGTTCCAGGGTTCTATCCAAAGGCTGATGGTGTCAGATGCACAGTTCCTAATCGGACTTGCACGCTGTGTAGACAGAGGAGCCTGGCCCTCACCTCACTGTGTCCCAAAGCCCCACACACTCTGCCTTGAACAACCTCACAAACTTACCCAGGGCTCCCAGTGAGGGTGCGGGTGCGTGCACACGTACACACAATAGATGGTTTTTAAAAACAGTCCCCATTCTGTTACCTACTCACAATCATCCTTGTAAAAGACAATTTGGCCGGCGCCGCGGCTCAATAGGCTAATCCTCCACCTTGCGGCGCCGGCACACCGGGTTCTAGTCCCGGTTGCCCCTCTTCCAGGCCAGCTCTCTGCTGTGGCCAGGGAGTGCAGTGGAGGATGGCCCAAGTGCTTGGGCCCTGTACCCCATGGGAGACCAGGATAAGCACCTGGCTCCTGCCATCGGATCAGTGCGGTGCGCTGGCCGCGGCGGCCATTGGAGGGTGAACCAACAGCAAAAAGGAAGACCTTTCTCTCTGTCTCTCTCTCTCACTGTCCACTCTGCCTGTCAAAAAAAAAAAAAAAAAGAGAGAGAGAGAGAAAAAGACAATTTGGTTGCATTCTTGGGACAAATTAAATGGATGCGCATTGAGTGAAATTCTGCCTAGACAGAAGACAGAAGAAAATGGAATTCAGTCTTCCTCGGTCTAAGGAGCTGCATTTAAAAAATAATTTACTGAGGCCGGCGCTGTGGCTCACTTGGCTAATCCTCTGCCTGTGGTGCTAGCATCCCATATGGGCTCTGGGTTCTAGTCCCGGTTGCTCCTCTTCCAGTCCAGCTCTCTGCTGTGGCCCGGGAAGGCAGTGGAGGATGGCCCAAGTGCTTGGGCCCTGCACCCACATGAGAGACCAGGAGGAGGCACCTGGCTCCTGGATTTGGATCGGCGCAGCGTCAGCCATAGCGGCCATTTGGGGAGTGAACCAACGGAAGGAAGACCTTTCTCTCTGTTTCTCTCTCACTGTCTAACTCTGTCAAATAAATTAAAAAAAAAAATTACTTATTTATTTGAATGTCAGATTTAGAGAGGAGGAGAGATAGACAAAGAGAGAGATCTTCCATCTGCTGGTTCACTCCCCAAATGGCTGCGATGGTCAGGTCTGGAACAGGCCAAAGCCAGGAGCCAGGAGTTTTTGGTGTTTGTTTTTTTTTTTTTTTTTTTTTGCTTGTTTGTTTTTAAGATTTATTTATTTATTTGAAAGTCAGAGTTATACACAGAGAGAAGGAGAGGCAGAGAGAGAGAGAGAGAGAGAGGCTCTTCCATCCGCTGGTTCACTCCCCAATTGGCCACAGTGGCCGGAGCTGCACCTATCCAAAGCCAGGAGCCAGGAGCTTCTTCCAGGTCTCCTGCACGGTGCAAAGACCCAAGGCCTTGGGCCATCTCCTACTGCTTTCTCAGGCCATAGCAGAGAGCTGGATCAGAAGTAGAGCATTCGAGTCTCGAACCGGTGCCCTTAGGGGATGCCAGCACTGCAGGCTACGGCTTTACCCGCTACACCACAGCCCCGGCCTCAAGCCAGGAGTTTTAACTGGGTCTTCTACGTGGGTAGAAGGAGCCCCAGCACTTGGGCCATCTTCTGCTGCCTTCCCAGGCACATGAGCAGGAAGCCAGATCAGAAGTGGGGCAGCCGGGACTCAAGCTGGCACCCATATAGGATGCTGGTGTCATGGGCGGCAGCTTAACCCGCTATACCACAGCGCCGGCCCCAAGGAGCTATATTGGTAAAGTACTGTAGCACGAGACTTGCACAATATGATGTTCTCTGAAAGTGTAGATCTGTGCAGCTCGTGGTGTTCATTGCTTCGTAGGTTCAGACATCAAAGGAAAAACCATCGTGCCAGAATCTGAAATCTCGGACTCCTATGAAGACCAGTCCTCTTATTTTTTTGAAAAATACTCCAAGGACCTGTTGGTCGAGGTAAAGAGCGTGGCTGGGAGGCTGACCCCGGGGAGGGCGTTCCTGATCCCGGCCTGCAGGGGGTTTCTCTGTGAGGCCTCACTGTAGGCATCGGTGTGGCCGCGCTGCCGGGTTTGGTGAGTTGCGACGAGCTGAGGTGCTGGTGACGGGTGTTCTTCCTGTCCCAGAGTACTGAGCAGTTACACCAACCCAAAGGGTCACCCTGTGCTGCATGCGACCTCCTGCTGTGTGGCTGTCTTTACAAACAGAGTCTGGCCGAGACGCTGCACCAGAAGCTGGTGGACGCCAACGTGGAGGAGCGCCACCACGCCTACCTGCAGCCCTTCCGCATCCTCATCAGCCTGCTGGACAAGCCAGAGATAGGTGAGGGGCAGCCCCGCTCCCGGGGGCCGCCGTCTGGGCGTGAAAGCGAGGGGGACACGACCCACACCGAGCCTGACTCAGCCCGTGGAGTCAGTTCTCTCTGGGCGTCACTAAGGAAAGCGTGCGCCACGGTTCAGGCTCTGGTAGGACAATCCCGCGAAGCTCCTGCCGTGCCCATCTGCGCATGTTCCCTCCTCCAGGGGCACACTGCAGGTGAGCCTCCGTTTGATTCTCACGCACCCCTGTCTCTTACCCCGCGACCCCGCACGAGCCCCTTCTTGTCACTACATACAATGAAAATATTTCCTCTGTAAGACAAAAGGGGCTTGAACTAGACTCTGGTTACACTCGTCCTATGAGCATCAGTTGAGAAAAGTGAGCTTCCTGGGGGCTGGTGTGGTGTAGCCAGTAAAGCTGCCTCCCGCAATGCCAGCATCACACGTGGATGCTGGTTCGAGTCCTGGCTGCTCCACTTCCGATGCAGCTCTCTGCTATGGCCTGGGAAACCAATGGAAGATGGCCTAAGTGCTTGGGCCCCTGCATCCGCAGGGGAGATCCAGAAGAAGCTCCTGGCTCCTGACTTTGACCTAGCCCAGCCCTGGCTGTTGTGGCCATTTGGAGAGAGAACCAGTGGATGGAAGATCTCTCTCTCTCTCTCCCAAGCCCCCAACTCTGCCTTTCAAATCTTTCAAAGAGAAGAAGAAAAGTGAGCATCTCTCTCATGCTTTTCAGCAGCATTTTCTGGGGTTGGCCTCATGGCATAGCGGGTTAAGCCGCTGCCTGCAGTGCTGTCCCATCCTATGGGCACCAGTTCAAGTCCCGGCTGCTCCACTTCTGATTCAGTGCCTTGATAATGCACCTGAGAAAGCAGCAGAGGATGGCCTGAGTGTTTGAGCCCTGCCAGCTACGTGGGAGATCTAGATGTAGTTGTTGGCTTTTTTAGAAAAGATTTATTTATTTACTTGAAAGAGTTCTAGAGAGAAGGAGAGACAGAGAGAGAGAGAGAGAGAGAGAGAGAGCTTCCATCCTCTGTTCTACTCCCAAAACGGCTGCAGTGGCCAGGGCTGAGCCAGGCCACAGCCAGGAGCTTCCTCCAGGTCTCCCACGTGAGTGCCGGGGCCCAGGGACCTGGGCCATCTTCCCCTTCTTCCCAGGCCATCAGCAGAGAGCTGGTTCAGAAGTGGAGTGGCTAGGACTCAAGCCAGCACCCAAGTGGGATGCCAGCACTGCAGGCCTCGGCTCAACTTGCTGCACCGCAGCACCAGCCCCAAACACGTAAATCACTGAGAAGCAGTTTCCTGATCTGCATTGCCTGTGAGCGCCTCAGTCAGCCATCGTTTGGTCTCCCAAGCCCATCACAGGGAGAAGGCCCCCTCTCTGTTGCATTGCAGGCTGGAGCACATGGCTCCAGTGCCCAAGGCGTGCTCACCTCCTGCGTGCTGGCTGCAGGGCACAAGGGGCTGGGGTGTGGGTGAAGTGCTCGCCTCCTCCTGGCCTCAGCACAGAGGCCCTGCACTTCTCCTCCTGCACCGGCCTAGAGCACCTGCTGTGTGGCAGGGAGCAGCAAGGCCCTGGGGTGCAGCAGGGGATAATGGGCTTCCGGTCAGGTTGGATGGGAGGTCCCCGACTGCTTCCACTGCTTTAGAAAAAATCACAACGGCTGAGTGGTTACTGTGTGCTGAGTGTCGGCACACATCACGTGATGTATGTCTGCACACACAATACCCATGTCACCGATGCGGGAACCTAAACTGTCCTTACGGGGACCCAGCTGCTGCTGATCTGAGCGCTGTCAGACAAGCCACATGGAAGATCTTCCCGCTTCCTCATTTAGCAAAGAGGAGCTTGCATGCCAAGCTGTGTGCAGCAGTACCCGAAGCCCAGGTAGGAATCCTGTGTTCTCCTGAGCACGGCTGCCTGCTGGGTCAGACTCCCGTGCCCTCCCCCACCTGCCTGGCTCCTGGGGCAATGGCACAAAGAGATTTTTTCTCTGTTTCCTCTCATGGCTTAACTGCAGTGCCGAGCAGCTGTGATTCTGTCTAAAAGGTGAATCGAGCTGTGTACGTGTGTTGGGAGCGCGCTGTGCATCATGGGGAAGCATCCCAAGAAGGCAGTGTTCACAGCACCTCTGAGATAGGGGCTCTGTGCCGGAGCTCTGCGCCTTAGCCAGCTGCACAGATGCTGCCGCGAGCTCTGGTTCCAGGGGGCGTTCGCTGCGCAGGGGAACGGCCTCACGCGTGGACGAGGCAGAGGAGAGGACCGCGTAGCACAAGGGTGCAGGTGGCCCGGCTGCTGTCTGCTGCTGGCTTCAATCACAGCTTATTTCTCCTGAAACCAGGCGGCAGAGCCACCTGTGATTTGTAAGGAGCACTTGGCACTGTGACGCGGCAGGTGAAGCACGCGTGGTCTCACCGCGCAGGTGGCTGTGCCGGGCCCGCCCCTGGATTTGGTGGAACAGAAGCTCTTGTGCTTTCCACGCGGAGTCCTTGACCCGGCTTCCCTTGCCCAGCCTGGATCGTGTTTCCTGCGCCCAGCGAGCAGCGAGGGTCCTCTCCCATGCAGCCAGCCCGGTTCCTTGGTGCTCGGGCAGGTGGCAGACTCTGGACCTCCGTCCCCTTTGTGTGACCGGGGGCCAGCGGTGCCACCTGTGCCCACAGCTGTGGTGAGGAATGAGGGGTTGCACAGGTGTGAACGGTGTAGAACCGTGTCCAGCACGTACGGACGCGTTGGCTGTCTTCGTGTTGCTCCCCGAGCTGAGGGCGTCCTTGTCACCACTGAGGTTAAGTTTCTCCAGGCTGTGAACCATGTGCCATGCCTGTAGATACTGTTACTCTGTATGTGTTTCTATTAAACAAGCCTACTTCAAAAACCTCAAGGAAAATGCAATTAAAAGAGAAGTTTATTTTGGTGCAAAAAAAATGATATCCACGGATACAAGGGATCTTCAAAAAATTCATGGGAAATATGTGTTGTGGAAAGGCTGTGCTTGTTTCAGAGTTAAAGAATTTACCTCTTAGTTCCGGTTTTTCCACGAACTCTTTGAAGGGCTGCGTCTTTCTCTGACTGTTTCCTGTTTAACTGCAGGGCCTCAGGTGGTTGAGAGCTTGTTTCTCGAAGTCATCAGGGCGTTTTACTCATACTGCAGAGACGCCCTGGGCTCCGACCTCCAGCTCAGCTACACTCAGAGTGGAAATTCACTGATCAGGTAGGGCTCTGACCCCAGCCTCACATTCTCCTCGCCCCGAGCGCCCTCCATCTTTTCCCCTCTGTTTGCTGTCATTTGTGCCATCCTAGACATAGCAGCAGGTGGAGCCACCCCCGCCTTATCCATGGCTTCACTTTCTGTAGTTTCAGGTACAAGCCACAAATATTAGATAGAAAATTCTAGAAACAGGCAGCCCACAGTTTTTTGTTTTTGTTTTTTACTTATTTGACAGGTAGAGTTAGACAGTGAGAGAGACAGACAGAGAGAAAGGTCTTCCTTCTGTTGGTTCAGCCCCCAAAATGGCCGCTATGGCCAGTGCTGCGCTGATCTGCAGCCAGGAGCCAGGTGCTTCTCCTGGTCTTTCATGGGGTGCAGGGCCCAAGCACTTGGGCCATCCTCCACTGCCCTCCCGGGCCACAGCAGAGAGCTGGCCTGGAAGAGGGGCAACCGGGACAGAATCCGGCGCCCCGACCGGGACTAGAACCTGGTGTGCTGGTGCCGCAGGCAGAGGATTAACCAAGTAAGCCACGGCGTCAGCCCAGCCCACAGTTTTTACAGTGAATTCTTGCATTTGTTCTATTTTATTATGTTACTGCTGATCTGTTACTGTGCCTAGTTCATAAATCACACTTTATCCTGAGGATGTGTGTGTAAGAAAAAAACAGCATCCGTGGGGCTTGGTCCATCCAGAGTCTCGGGCATCCTCTAGGGGTAGGTATGGGGCACGTGGTCCCCACAGATTAGGTAGCCATGGGGAGCCACCCTAGCCTGTGCTCTTGAGTCAATCAACGTGAATCAACTGTTCCCCGCTGCGGACCAGGCGGAGCTTAAAAGGAGCTGCATCCAGTGTCTTCCCCCAGCCTGGGATGTGCGAGTGTGAAATCCCCTCAGCTAAGGCAGCTTGACCTTGTGCACCCAGGTGGTGAGTCAGAGGAGGAGAGAAGAGGGGCGGTGGGAGAGGACCGAGTTCAGGACATGGAGCCAGGCGTGGGAGTCTGCAGGAGATGGGGCGGGAGGGCGGCACCAGGACAAGATGCCTGCCCAGGGCCCTGGAGCCATGAGTGGTGTTTGGGAGCAGTAGGTTCCTTGGCTTAAACATGTAGTTACTGCTGGCGCCGCGGCTCACTAGGCTAATCCTCCGCCTGCGGTGCCGGCACCCCGGGTTCTAGTCCCGGTCGGGGCGCCAGATTCTGTCCCGGTTGCCCCTCTTCCAGGCCAGCTCTCTGCTGTGGCCAGGGAGTGCAGTGGAGGATGGCCCAAGTGCTTGGGCCCTGCACCCCATGGGAGACCAGGAGGAAGCACCTGGCTCCTGGCTGCGGATCGGCACAGTGCACTGGCTATAACAGCCATCTGGGGGGTGAGCCAACGGAAGGAAGACCTTTCTCTCTGTCTCTCTCTCTCACTAACTCTGCCTGTCCAAAAAAAAAAAAAAAAAATGTGCAGTTACTATAAACTCTGTGGCTTGTTTGATTTGTGCTAAGGTAATACAACCTCTCCTTTTTGCTTTACTCTTAACATAATTTGCCTCTGCCTAAATTTGCACTGGGCATGCTGCAATCGGTTCTAAGAATTTTCTGGTTTATTCATTGCACTTATCTAGAGAGTCCTCAGAGCTTGCATTTGTCTCCCGCAATGAGTGGTTTATTGCTTTCCTGAGAATGAAAGTAACGCACACGCGTTTACTTGGACTCAAAGGTGTCGAGAAAAAGGATACCACTCTCAGTCCTACCCCCTTCAGAGGAAAACATAAAACACTGGCACCTCTTCCCAGGCTCTCACGGAGCGCAGGAATACACAGACGGCGTGGTTGCCTGCCGCCCTCTGCGCCGTACGCGGCTCTGCGCCTTCCTCCTACCCAGTACTGCAGTTGCCACACTTGCGTTCCTTGCTCAGAATTTCTCATTTATACACTGACCTGTCTCACACTGATCAACCTGGAGGCCGTTTCCGCGTCTTCAGTAATTTTTAATGGCCTTGCAGTGGTGCATCCGTCCCCATGTCCCATGTCCCCATACGAGGATTTCCGTAGGATACACCCCGCGAATGAATTTCCTGAGCCGTGGAAAACACGTGTATCGTTAAAACTTTCCCTGATGAACAGTTGCATCATGTTATTCCATCAATAGAGTATCTAATTACCTATGATTGGAGCAAAATCAATTTTCTGTTTCAAATTCTTTTATAGCAACTCTTTTTAAGATTTATTTATTTATTTATCGTCACAGAGAGGCAGAGGCAGAGAGAGAAGTCTTCCATCTGCTGGTTCACTCCCCAAATGACTGCAGCGGCCAGGGCTGGGCCAGACCAAAGCCAAGAGCCAGGAGCTATCCATGTCTCCCATGTAGGTGTCAGGGGCCCAAGTACTTGGGCTGTCTTCCACTACTTTCCCAGGCACAGTAGAGGGAACTGGATTGGAAGTGGAGTAGCCAAGACTTGAACCAACACCCATATGGGATGCCAGAGCCACAGGCAGTGGCTTAACCCACTACACCATAGCGCTGGCCCCTGTAACAGCTCATAAGCAATGTATCAGTCAATAAATATTGTTTATGGGGTCAGCACTATGGCATAGCAGGTAAAGCTGCCTCCTGCAGCGTCAGCATCCCAAATGGGCACTGGTTCAAGTCCTGGTTGCTCCTCTTCTGATCCAGCTCTCTGTTGTGGCCTGGGAAAGCAGTAGAAGATGGCCCAAATCCTTGGGCCCCTGCACCCAAGTGGGAGACCTGGAAGAAGCTCCTGGCTCCTGGCTTCAGATCGGTGCAGCTCTGGCTGTTGCAGCCATCTGGGGAGTGAACCAGCAGGAGGAAGACCTCTCTCTCTGCCTCTGCCCCTTTGTAACTCTGCCTTTCAAATAAATAAATAAATAAATCTCTTTAAAAAATTGCTTATGATGATAAGCAAACTATATAAAAATAATATCTTTATCAGTTAGCCTACCCAGAACTGAGTTGTAAGTGGGAAAATGAGTCACAATTTGTTTCCTTTTTTAAAAAAGACTTATTTATCTGAAAGGTAGAGTTACAGAGAGAGAGACAGAAAGAAAGAAAGAGAGCTTTCATTTGCTGGCTCACTGCCCACGTGGCCGCAATAGCTGGGGCTGGGCCAAACCCAAACCAGGAGCCAGGACCTCCATCCGGGTCGCCAGTGTGGGTAGCAGGGGCCCAAGAACTTGGACCCTCGTCGGCTGCCTTCCCAGGTGCATTAGCAGGGAGTTCGATTGGAAGCGGGGCAGCCGGGACTCGAACTGGCGCTTCGGGATGGGGTGCCGGCATCCCAGGCAGCATTGGCTGGTGCTCCACGTGCAGACCCCTTGGTGAAGTTTCTCAGACGCCGAGTTCTCGCGATGCAGGACTTCCCGTAAACGTGCTTCTCTCTGCTCCTTTGACAGCACAATCAAGGAAAACAAAAGCGCGTCGGAGATTGTGAAGACGGTGAATTTGCTCATCACCTCCCTAAGCACAGACTTTCTCTGGGATTACCTGACCCGGCACTTCGAGGACTGCTTCAGGTGTGCCTGCACTTTGGAGTCTGGAAGGAAGGGCGGGGGGGGGGGGGGGTCACAGTCCCAGCGCTGCCCAGCATGGTCAGGCCGCGTACCAGGAGCTGGGGCTGGGTGCTCCTGCCTGCGCTGCAAAGTTCAGCCGAAACGGCACTGGGAGGGTCTCCCGAGATCCTGATGGGCCAGGAAACGTCTCCAGCAGGAAGGGTCCCATCCTCTTGGCCACGCAACGCCAAAGCCACCTTACTTATTGAAGTCTAACTTGAGAAAATCCTCTGCGTTTCCCAGTCACGTTCATCAAATCCTCTTTCTTGGCACCGTTCTCCCGGCCTGATCTGTGTAAAGCAGCTTAGTGTTGTGGCTCTGCCTGGAGAATGTTCTGGAAATCCTCTGTCTTCTTACCTTCCTGTTGGAATTAGTGTAGCCCTGGTTACAGTAAAGCATTAATGCTTTAAGCTACCATAATGAGCTTTACTGACACTTTTTTTAAAAAGCTCTTTTTTTTTTTTAATTTGGGGGAGTAGGATGGAATTTTCCATCTGCTGGTTTGTTATCTAAATGTCCACAATGGCCAGTGTGGGCTGGGCCAGACCGAAGCCAGGAGCTGGGAACTCAACCCAGGTCTCCCAGGTGGGTGGCAGGGACCCGGTTACCTGAGCCGTCACTGCTGCCTCCCAGGGTGTGCATTCGCAGGGAGCTGGAGTCAGGAGCAGAGCTGGGAATTGTCCAGGCAGTCATGTGGGCATCCTAACCGATGTCTCCACTACCAGGCCAAGCACCTGCCCTGGTTATTTTCTTTTTTAAAATAATATTTATGTATTTATTTGAAAGGCAGAGTTACAGAGAGGCAAAGGCAGAGAGGGAGAGAGAGGTCTTCCATCTGCTGGCTCACTCCCCAGAGCTGTGCCGATCCAAAGCCAGGAGCTTCCTCCAGGTCTCCCACACGGGTGCAGGGGCCCAAGCACTTGGGCCATCTTCCTCTGCTTTCCCAGGCCATAGCAGAAAGCTGCACTGGAAGTGGAGCAGCCAGGACTCAAACCGGCACCCATATGGGATGCTGGCCCCGCAAGTGGCTGCTACCCGGGTGGAGCCAGCCCCCCACCCTCCCAGCCCTTGGTGCTGCTTTCCTCCCAGAGGCCATCATTGTCCTGGGTGTCCCTGCCATGCTGTTACGTGCGTCCATAACAGATGTGCCTCCCCAAGTGACAGGGTCCGCTCTATCCAAGTCCTGCAGCAGTAACGTTTTGCAGTGAGCTGTCTGAGGGCACCGACCGTCCACTAAGTGCTGTGGTCTCCTGAGTGAATAAACAGGTTTCAGTCTTGTCCTTGTTGCCTGCAGTACAGTGGCAATGTTGTCATCTGTCCTCTGTGCACAGGTGTGGGGAGCAGCCCGGACTGGACTGAGTTACTGGAATTAAGACTTATTCTATGCATCTGCTCTCCCACAATATGGCGCTGGGAGAGGAGAAAACAGCTTCTACGCAGCTGCCTCCAGTTCAACCAATAAACTGTAGGACTTGCTCCTGATTGGAGGAGAGCAGCGTACTCGGCGTGTGGGCAGCCGAGTTGGGATTGGCAGAGGAGGACTATAAGGGAGGAGAGAGACGGCATGCACCAGGAACATCTAAGGGGAACATCTGAGGGAACACCTGTGCAGCCCCCGAGAGAGCCGGCCGGCGGTGTGCCGCTCCCCTGCGGAAGTGGGGAATGTGGCCAGGGGGAACTGCCCTTCCACGGAGGTGGAAGGGACAGTAGCCAACCCGGGAAGAACCAGCAGCAAACCCGAGGAGGGCCGAGCAGACGAAAGAACAGCGCAGGGTTCAGTGTCGTTCCTCCACGAAGAGGGGGAGCGACACACAGGGTGTTTTGAGTAGACACCCCGAAATAGCTAACACCTCTAGGGTGCGGTTCTTTGAAGGAATTCTCCCTCTAAGATGAACTGTGATCATCAGCGCTGACTTACAGGACAGAGAAAGACCTCGGCATGGGCTAGCCGATAGCAGCGAGGTGGATCCTCAGTTACTGTGCTCTGAAAGTCAGTACACACAGCCACCCTCGGGTAGCCGTGGGGAGTGGCTTCCAGGACACCCCTGGGACACCGCAGAGCCTACCCACATCCCCCTGCAGTGCCTAAAGCACAGGTGTGCTCTGCAGATCCTCCTGACACCGTGTTACTTAAGGCGTCGTGTCCGGAGCAGAGGTCTGAAGGTGTCCACTACAGGCAGTTCTGCCCGCTCTGCGGCTCGATGACTCTGGGCGCAGAACACACGATGGGTCCTGAGGCCACGGCACCCACTTCTGCAGGCACCTGCTTGTTGAGGGGAGTGTCAGACGTCAGTAAGGGATAAGCTGCTGGCACTGGGCTTCATCTGTAAGTTGGGCTGCACTGTAGAAGCCAGCGAACTGTAACCAGCCCAGGTGCTGCTGAGCCCCTGGGAGTCCCCGGAGGGCCCATGTGTGTCAGATGCCTCCAGCCAGGTGCCACTTGGCCTGTGGTGGTCTTGAGCCCCTACTCCTGCCCTGGGACTTGCCTTGGGCCTGGGGCTGGGGACCAGGACTGTACCTGGTGCTGCAGGTCTGCCGGGCGTGACGTCCCACACGGGCACGGGACTGCGCACGTCTGAACTGACAGAGCCCATGCCGCAGACAGGTAGGTCACAGACACCTGCGAGTGTCATCCCTGCTCTGTGCTCAGCTCTTAGAGCGGCAGAAGCCGTCTTTAACTCTCTTGGAAGTGGAGTAACCACCGGAAGTACTGACAGGTGCATTAGGAGCAAGGACTCACTTGTTTTCTCCTGTGATGGCTGCAGGCCAGAGAAGCAGAGGGACCCTGCCTGGAGGAGCGCCGGCCCGCCCCCCACGGTCTCCGAGCTCTGCAGCCTCCTCGTGTTCCTGTTGGACGTGATTCCCTTGGTAGGTGCTCTGCTGGGACGGGACGGCGCCTGCCCGGAAAGCCCAGGTTTACTGAGAACCCCGGATGTTCGTTTCAGCTTGGAAACTGTACCTGGATGTAACCTCTTATGCTCATAATTCTTTTTTTGCTATGAGAGGCAGGAAGACAGACAAACAGATGGAACTCCTGTCTGCCAGCTTGTTACCCAGTAGCCAGGGCTAGGCTAGGCCAAAGCTGGGAGCCGAGAACTTAATTCAGGTCTCCTACGCGGGTGGCAGGGATCTAACCCCTGGAGCCGTCACCTGCACATCCGCAGGAGGCTGGGATTGAGAGTGGAGCCAGGACTCGATCCCAAGCACTCAGACTGAGACCCAGGCATCCCGGCTGGCAGCTTGACTGCGGGGCCAGACGCCGCCCTCCTGCTGTTTTTAACATCTTGTTTAGAAGAGCTCACAGTTTTTGAGCCCCATGTACGTGGGCCGAGCTGACGTCAAGTAAACCAGCTGTTGAACTGGCCATCATCCTGTTCTCCAGCTATTTGTTTAGGGGTGACTGTAAATATATTTTCTAATTAAAATTGCACAGGTGGCTAATTGTCACAGAGGAAGCCAATTTCTGCAGTTTGAAATGCGTGCGGCAGTTTTATTATTTCTTTCTCCATTAGAAAGAAAAGAGTGGAAGAGTGGCCTGCTTGATCTGGATAAAAAGAAAATATTGTTTGTTTTCTGATTTGGGATTTAATATGAAACCTAAGCTCTAAGAAACTGAATTTCCTGGATTTGTCCAGACTGTAAGCGGATGGCGTGGGAGTTCATTACACCTGTGCTTCTTTCACAGGAACTTTACTCTGAGGTGCAAACCCAGTGCCTCCCGCAGGTGCTTGGCTGCCTGGTGCGGCCTCTCGCTGAGGAGATGGGGGCCTTGAGCTTGCCGGAACTCACGCACGCCTTGAAGACGTGCTTCAAGGTGCTCAGCAAGGTGCAGATGCCGCCCTCCTACCTGGACGCGGAGTTCACCAGCGGCAGCTCGGTATGTGCCCCGAGGCGCGGGAAGGGCTCTGCGGGACTGGGGCAGCCTATGGCCGGGGCCAGTGTTGTGCCGCGTCCAGTGAAGCCCCTGCTTGCAACGCTGGCATCAGAGTGCTGGTTCAAGCCCCTGTCCAGCTCCCTGCTGATGCGCCTGGGAGAGCAGTGGAGGATGGCCCATGTGAGAGACCCAGATGGAGTCCCTGGCTCCTGGCTTCAGCCTAGCCCAGCCCTGGCTGTTGTGGGAACTTGGGGAGTGAGCCAGAGGATGGAAGGTCTCTATCTCCCTCCACACCCCACTTTCTCTCCATCACTGACTTTAAAATAAATTTCAAAAATCTTTTCTAAAAAATGGTCAGCGATGTTGCCAGATTGCCTTCCAGAAAGACAGACAGTAATCATCTCGCAGTTTGATGCCCATTGTCTTCAGATTGATGGTTTCTGTTTTCTACTTTATTTAGGGATTTGGAAATTTTGCCCTTGAAATCGGGTCAGGGCAGTGGCGGGCAGGTGACTGGACGGGAATTGGGGCTCAGCATGCAGACCACTTGCGGATGGCGACCCCAGTTACGAGCTTGGGCTCATCTCTGTCTTCTGTAGCTGCTCTAGCTAGTGGAAGAAAATGTCCTGAAAACAACGTAGGGCACAAAGCGCTAGCATGCGTGGTCCACAGACCTGAGCACAGACACCCAGCCGCCTCCCTCCCCAGGAGCAGGTGGGCAGCTGCCGAGGGTTTCACATTCAGTGGAGCCTGGGCCAAGCACCCCTCCCTTCTCTGAGCTGCCTGAGACCGGAAGCGTTTCAGATTTCGGGCTTTTTGTTTGTTTGTTTTTCAGATTTTGGAATGTTTGCATACACATGCGGTGTCTCGGGGACAGGATCCACATCTCAACAAAGATCATTGTGTCTCTTACACGCGTAGGCCAAAGAAACGGTGGTTTAGCACATGCATGGGATGATCCTGGCAGTACTCAGAAAGCCTCAGAGTTCCAGGTTAGGGAAGCTCAGCTGGTGTTTAGTTTAGACAGAGACAAGAGGTGAATCAGTCCATTGAAGGTTAAAGTGGCACCACGCTGGAAAAGCTGCTGTGTGCACGCCTGCATGTGTGTGAACAGGTGTAGGTATACATGTGAGTGAACACGTGTCTGCATCTATATGTATATATGTGTATGTGTATGTATATATATGTAATATATATATATTGCTGAACAGATACTTTTTTCAGCTTCATCTTAGGGTTTCATGCCTTTATTTGACCATCAGCTCAGTTTCCTCATTCATGGTTTTTAGAGCTTTTTTTTGACAGGCAGAGTAGAAAGAGAGAAAGGTCTTCCTTCCATTGGCTCACCCCCCAAATGGCCACCATGGCCAGCGCACTGCACCGATCCAAAACCAGAAGCCAGGTGCCTCTCCTGGTCTCCCATGGGGTGCAGGGCCCAAGCACTTGGGCCATCCTCCACTGCACTCCCAGGCCACAGCAGAGAGCTGGACTGGAAGAGGAGCAACCAGGACAGAATCCGGCGCCCCAACCGGGACTAGAACCCAGGGTGCCAGCACCACAGGTGGAGAATTAACCTAGTGAGCCGCGGCGCCGGCCTAAAGATTTATATATTTATTTGAGAGGCAGAGTTAGAGAGAGAGAGTGGGAGAGACAGAGAGAGAAGTCTTCATCTGCTGATTCACTCCCCAAATAGCCACAATGGCAGAGGTTGAGCCAATCAGGAGCCAGGATCTCCTTTCAGGTCTCCTGCAAGGGGGCAGGGACCTAAGCACTTGGCCCATCTTCCGCTGCTTTCAAAGGCCATTATCAGGGAGCTGGATGGGAAGTGGAGCAGCCAGGACTTGAACTGGTGCCCATATGGGATGCCGGATCTGCAGGTGGAGGCTTTAACTGCTACACCACAGTGCCAGATGGTCATTCACATCTTTTAGTTAGTTGGAAACAAGTTATAAGCAACCTACATTTCTTTTGATTTTTTTTTATTTGAGAGACACAGAGAGCAAGAGAGAGGGGTGGGGCTCCTATCCCGCTGACTGATGCCCCCTCCAACCCTGCAAATCCCACAATAGCCAGGGCTGCGCAGTCTGAAGCGGGGGCCAGGAACTCAGTCCAGGTCTCCCACATGGGTGGTAGGAACCCAGTCACTTGAGGCATCCCCACTGTCTCCCGAGATCTCCCTTGGCAGGAAGCTGGAGTCCAGGGCCGGAGCCAGGTGTCAAGCCCAGCAACTCCAGTGTGGAACACTTGCGTCCAGCCTTGCCCCAGGGCGTGCGGCCCCATCCGCCTGTTCCTTGGGGCCCCACTCCCCTACTTCGCCTGCCTCCTTACTGCTGTGTTCTCTTTCCATGGATTCTCTTGCTGGAAAGGGCAGCAGTCCTGAAAAATGGCTTTGAAGGGCATTCCTGATTTTCAGCAGGTCCTCGAATTCCTCAGTCTTAAGGAGATGCCCAGCACAATGTTAATAGTGGTTTCCTTTTCCTTTTTCAGAGTCCAGTAAAAGGCGAAAACGAAGTAATTTTAGAAACAAAGGCAGTGATTGCCAGGGACGAAGACGCGTCGTTCCCCCCGCTGAAATCTGAGGACAGCGGGATCGGGCTCAGCGCCTCGTCGCCGGAGCTGTCCGAGCACCTGAGGGTCCCTCAGGTGTCCCCCGACCGAGACGACGTCTGGAAGAAGGGCGGGAGCATGCAGAAGACGTTTCTCTGCATCCAGGAGCTGATCGCCAACTTCGCCAGCAAGAACATCTTTGGAGGGCAGCTGACGGCGTCCGGGGAGGAGAGCAGGCCCGAGGAGCCGGCGGGGAAGCAGGAGAAGGATGGGACCCCGCGCCCGGCGGCCAGCAACCCCGGCAGGAAGAACTCCTGGGAGGCCAAGCCCATCACCGTGCCCCAGTTCAAGCAGATGCTCTCGGACCTGTTCACGGTGCGAGGGTCTCCGTTCAAGGCGAGGAGTTCCGAGTCGCCCCCGTCTCTGCCCAGCAGCCCGAGCAGGAAGAAGGAGGGAGACTGGGGCGTGGAGCAGGCCGTGATCGAGCTGGGGGGCTCCAGGGAGGAGTGCAGGGAGGCCTTTGCGGCTGCCTGCCACCTGCTGCTCGACTGCGCCACCTTCCCCGTCTACCTGTCCCAGGAGGAGATGGAGCAGCTCTGCGCGACGCTCTTCCAGCTCCCAGGTGAGTGGCGGCCCTTCCCCCGGAGCCCGTCCCCCTGGGCCACCCCTTACTGAGGCGACAGACGAGCTGGAGCTGTGCCCGCAAGCTCAGACTCCAGAGCGTTTCGGGTTTCGGATTTTCGGGGTGAGGATGCCCAGCCGTGAAGCCTGCGCAGACGTCCCGCCTTGGGAAGCTCCCAGACGCGCAGCGTTCTGAGAAAGGGTGCTTAGCCTGTGTCGGCCACGTTGGTTTCCATCCCTGTTTGTCAATGAGTTGTGAACGTTTTTGACTTCTGTCTCACTCTGTGGCAGGTTGGTAAGGACCAGGATTGTGTTTTTGTTTTATTTATTTACTTTTGCTCCCTGGGTCTGTATCTTTTTTTTTTTTTTTAGATTTATTTATTTATTTATTTAAAAGGCAGAGTGACAGAGGGAGAGACAGAGAGAGAGAGAGATCTTCTGTACTCTGGCTCACTCCTTAAATGGCCACAACAGCCAGGTCTGGGCCAGGCCAAAGCCAGGAGCCAGGAATTCCACCCTGATCTTCCACGTGGGCAGAAGGGGCCCAAGTACTTGGGTCATCGTCCGCTGCCTTCCCAGGTACATTCAGCAGGGAGGTGGATCAGAAGCAGAGAAACCAGGACTTGAAGCAGCACTCCAATATGGACGTCAGTGCCACAGCACCGTAACCTGCCAGCCCCAAGGGTACCTTGGGTAGCTAGGCAGCCCCTCAGAAACCCAGGACATCCAAGGAACCATCCAAAAGTTCATGGCGAATGCATAGCATGTGTTGATTTCAAACTTTTTTTGCACCAAAATAAGCCTATCTTTAATTGCATTTTTGCATGAGCTTGTTGAAGCGCCCTCATCAGAGGTGTTACTGTAGGTGGTTCTTAGGCTGTTTCATGGCACCGGTTATTGCAGGTTTATGTGTTGGTTTGCTGGGCTGCCATAGCAACGCCCCCACAAACAGGGAGGTTGAAGACTTCAGAACTGTCTCCCCTCGCAGTTCCGGAGGCCCGAGTCACAAGGACTGCCCGGCCCCACTCCCTCTCTGTGGCTCTGGGCGGAGCCCTCCTTGCCTCTCCCAGCTCCGGCTGGTGGCCGCAGCCCGTGGCCTCCCGTGGCTGGCAGCTGCTTCCCTCCAGACTCTGCCCGCGTCCTCACAGGGCAGTCTCCCCGGGTGTCTCCATCTTGCCGTGGCATTTTCCTCTCGCGAGGACGCCAATCACGGTGGATTAGAGCTCACCCTAACTGGACGACATCTGTGCAGACCCCGTTTCCACAGAGCACCCCTCCCCCTCCCGCAGAAGGTCAGCACGCTGCCCTCCCGTGGTGCCTCGGCAGACCCGCTGCCACTCACACACTCTCACTTGTCCCTGGCTGCAGGAGCCGGCGACCCCAGTTTCCCAGCCTGGCTCAAGTCCCTCATGACGATTGCCTGCTGTGTGAACGACTGCTGCCTCCAGAACGTGGCCATCTCCACGCTGCTGGAAGTGATCAACCACTCGCAGTCCCTCGCGCTCGTCATTGAAGACAAGATGAAGCGCTCCCGGAGCTCCGGACACAACCCGTTTTTTGGCCAGCTGCAGATGGTGACCGTGCCTCCCATCGCACCGGGGATACTGAAAGTTGTTGCAGAAAAAACGGACTTCTATCAGGTACTCCCTGCTCTCAAGAGGCGTGTCCCCCAGGGGTGGCCACTGGCCGTGAATAGGGCTGTCCTGAGACGGAGACCGCCTGTGTCCCGGGCTGCTGCACAGCTTCTTGGGTTGGTTTTTTCGTTCGTTTGTTTGTTTGTTTATTTGTTTAAGAGGGACATAGAGAGCTTCCTTCTGCTGATTCACTCCCCAGTGGCTGCAATGGCTAGGGCTGAGCCAGGCTGAAACCAAGACCCTGAATCTCCATCCAGGTCTCCCACATGAGTTTAAGGGCCCAAGCACTTGGGCCATCTTCTGCCCCTTTCTCAGGAGCATTAACAGAGAGCTGAATTGGAAATGGAGCAGCCAGGACTCGAACCGGCACCCGTATGGGATGCTGGTGGTAGTGGCTTAATCTGGCATGCCACAAATTCTGGCCCATTTTTTCTTTTCTTTCTGTAGAGGTTAATTTATTTATTTGAAAAGCAAAGTAACAGAGAGAGGGAGGGAGAGACAGAGATCTTCCGTCTGCTGGTGTACTCCCCAAATGGCCGCAGTGGCCAGGGGTAGGCCAGGCTGAAGCCACGAGCCTGAATACCCATCCGGGCCTCCCACGTGGGTGCAGGGGCCCAAGCACTTGGGCCATCTTCTGGTCCTTTCCCAGGAGCATTAGGGAGCTGGGTTAGAAGTGGAGCAGCTGGGACTTGGGACTGGTGCTCACATGGGATGCTGGTGTCGCAGGCAGTGGCTAAACCTGCTGCACCACAACACCAGCCCCATGCACAACCTCTGACCCAGCAGCAGGTACTCAGTAAACGTTCGTATCTAGATTTAGGCTGATTCGACTTCACGTGTAACGACCCTATAATCATCTGAGTATTAGGAGAAAGAACCCATGCTCCAGTTTGTGAGATTAAAGGATGTGGTGGAAGTAGGAGGGCTTAGCCTCCAGGGACTCTTAGGACTTGTCAGACTTAAGAAAGATTATGGCTGAATACGGCAAGCAAATGTTGTCCCTCTTTCTTGGGGACAGAATAAGAACATCATTTAAAGAAGTACATCGTAGAGCCCATTTAACTGCAAGAGACTGGAAGCCACTGTGAAGCTTTCTGTAAGGAGGAAGGGAGCAGCAGGCGTGGCGGGCAGCTGGGCCTCCCCAGACAGAACGGGAAGCTGCTCCCCGTGCCAGGAACTCGCTCTGCACATCTCCCTGCCAGCCAGCCAGCTTTCCAGTGGCACCTCGACCTTCCCTCTGCCTCATGACCCTCAAGTTTGGTTCCCAGAGCTGGTGGACCTGGAGCTCTTAGAATTCTCCACTAAAGGTCAAGGTTGTAAAACAGTCTGCTGGTGAGACCCTCTTGGGTTGGATTCCTTCTGCTGGTCCAGCCCGTGGCAGAGAGGTGGGGTGAAGGGAGGAGAGGCGTTTGCTGCAGACAGGAGTTTGCTTGCCCCCCAGGACCCGTGGACGGAACGTGCCTTCCCAGCAAGTGGAGGGGCGGCACATACCCTGAAAAGTGAGACACTAAGGGATTTACTAAACACAGAACTGTGTGTGAAGGGGTCGTTGAATCCAAACTGTCGTAGAGCTTGCAGCAGCTCTCTGTAAGACTTAAAAAATATATATATATTTATTTATTTGAAAGGCAGAGGGGCCGGCGCTGTGGTGCAGCGGGTTAACGCCCTGGCCTGAAGCGCCGGCCTCCCATATGGGCACCGGTTCTAGTCCCAGCTGCTCCTCTTCCAACCCAGCTCTCTGCTATGGCCTGGGAAAGAAGCAGAAGATGACCCAAGTCCTTGGGCCCCTGCACCCACATGGGAGACCCAGAGGAAGCTCCTGGCTCCTAACTTCGGTTCAGCGCAGCTCTGGCTATTACAGCCATCTGGGGAATGAACCATCAGATGGAAGACCTCTCTCTCTCTCTGCCTCTCCTCTCTCTGTGTAACTCTGACTTTCAAATAAAAAAAAAAAATTAAAAAAAAAAAAAAAGAGAGAGAGGCAGAGGCAGAGAGAGAGACAGAGTTCTCTATCCACTGGTTCACTCCCCAAATGGTAACAACAGCTGGAGCTGAGCAGATCCAAAGCTAGGAACCAGGAGCTTCTTCAAGGACTTGAGCCATCTTCTGCTGCTTTCCAAGGTCATAGCAGAGAGCTGGATTGGAAGTGGAGCAGCTGGGATTCAAACTGGTGCCCGTATGGAATGCCGGCACTGTGAGTGGCATCTTTACCCATTGTGCCACAGCACTGGCCCCTCTAAGACTTTCAAACAGGCTGGATTTTTCCCTACTCATATCGGAATGAACGCATCTCAAAAACGGCGTTTAACTGAGATGAACTCTCTCCTCTTTTTTTTTTTTTTTTTTTTTTTTTGACAAGCAGAGTGGACAGTGAGAGAGAGAGACAGAGAGAAAGGTCTCCTTTGCCATTGGTTCACCCTCCAATGGCCGCTGCGGCCGGCGCACCGCGCTGATCCGATGGATGGCAGGAGTCAGGTGCTTCTCCTGGTCTCCCATGGGGTGCAGGGCCCAAGGACTTGAGCCATCCTCCACTGCACTCCCTGGCCATAGCGGAGAGCTGGCCTGGAAGAGGGGCAACCAGGACAGAATCCGGCGCCCCGACCGGGACTAGAACCCAGTGTGCCGTCGCCACAAGGCGGAGGATTAGCCTAGTGAGCCGCGGCGATAACAGCTTCATAGAGCTATGATTCACACCCTATGATTCACCTTTGAACATGTATACATTTCAGGGCTGGCACAGTGGGTTAAAGCCACCACCCGCAGTGCTGGTATCCCATGTAGGCACCAATTTGAATCCCAGCTGCTCCACTTCCAATCCAGCTCTCTACTATGGCCTGGGAAAGCAGTAGAAAATGGCCCAAGACCTTGGGCTCCTGCACCTGTGTGGAAGACCTGGAAGAAGCTCCTGGCTCCTGGCTTCGAGTCAGCTTAGCTCTGATGATTGTGGTCATTTGGAGGAGTGAACCACTGGATGCAAGACCTCTCTTTCTGGCTCTACCTCTCTCTGTAACTCTCTTTCAAATAAGTAAAATGGGGCAGGCTCTGTGGCACAGTGGGTTAACGCCCTGGCCTGAAGTGCCAGCATCTCATGGGCACCGGTCTAGTCCCGGCTGCTCCTCTTCCCATCCACCTCTCTGCTGTGGCCTGGGGAAGCAGTAGAAGATGGCCCAAGGCCTTGGGCTCCTGCACCCACATGGGAGACCCAGAAGAAGCTTCTGCTCCTGGCTTCGAATCGGCACAGCTCCAGCTGTTGCGGCCAGTTGGGGAGTGAACCATCGAATGGAAGACCTCTCTCTCTGTCTCCACCTCTCTCTGTAACTCTGTCTTTCAAATAAATACAATCTTAAATAAATAAATAAATAGAATGGCCGTTGTGGCCGTTTGTGGAGTGAACCAGCAGATGGGAGACCTCTCTCTCTGCCTCTCCCTCTCACTGTCTGTAACTCTACAGACTGGCTGGGCCAGGCAGAGTTTTCTACACAGGTGGCAGGGGCCCAAGCACTCAAGTCATCTTCTGCTGCTTTCTCACACACATTAGCAGGAAGCTGGATCAGAAGTGGAGAAGCAGGGATTCAAACCAGCACTCATATGGAATGCCAGTGTAACTGCAGGCAGTGGCTTAACCCGCTATGCCACAACGCTGGCCCGGCGGCCACTGCAGACCCACCATGCTCACAGTGGGTCCCCAGGGCCGGCGGAGGCTGAGGCTGCTTCCCTCCCTCGGGTGCAGTCTCCCGCTGACTGCCTTCCTGAAAGTGAAGTTGGGGGTCAGCTGGTGGGAAACCGTCACGGACAACCCGGGCGCTGCGGTGCTGGGGGCCTCGGCTGGGTTCTGCTCCATTCCCGGTGTCGTCTGTGTCGCCGATGGGTCTCTGGGAACCTAGGATGCTCTCACAGCGATGGAAGTCAGAGGCAGCTCATCGGGGTTGGAACTGGACTGACGCGAGGGCACGGGGCACGCGTGTGCGTGCTGCTGTGTTGACGCGGTCTCCGCTGCCTTGTGCTCATCCCAGAGGGTGGCTCGCGTGCTCTGGAATCAGCTGAACAAGGAGACCCGGGAGCACCACATCACCTGTGTGGAGCTGTTCTACCGGCTGCACTGCCTGGCCCCCACGGCCAACGTCTGCGAGGACATCATCTGCCACGCCCTCCTGGACCCCGACAAGGTGAGCGCTTCCGGCCGTGACGCAGCCCCCAGCCGGCCTTCGCTGCTGGAGCAGCCCACTGCCGTACCTCCCGAGACATACTTGGATGAAAAATGGCCTGGAAAGCTAAGTTGATTTGGGCCCCCAAAATTGCAGCCTGCACAGAGGTTCTTGATGGTAGTTTTCCGTAAGCATTTTGAAGCACCTGCTGAAGTCTGGGGCTCTGGGCATCCTGATTCGTGAGCGGGGGTGCTCCAGAGTGTTGGGGCTGGAGGCTGCTGTGCGCTCAAACCATCCCCTTTGCAGTCCCAAGATCAAGGTTTGCAAGGGAAATCTGCCCAAAGTCTGTGTAAGTAATTTTTTTAAATACTTATTTATTTGAAGGCAGAGTTATGGGGCGAGGGGCAGTCCTTCCATCAGGTGGTTCACTTCTTAGATGGCCGCAATGGCCAGAACTGGCCAAGCTGAGGCCAGGAGCCAGGAGCTTCTTCTGGGTCTCCCACGTGGGTGCAGGGGCCCAAGGACTTGGCCATCTTCCACTGCTTTCCCAGGCCATAGCAGAGAGCTGGATCAGAAGTGCAGCAGGGGCCGGAGCTGTGGTGTAGCGGGTAGAGCCACCGCCTGCAGTGCCTGCATCCCATATGGGCGCTGGTTCGAGTCCCGGCTGCTCCACTTCTGATCAAGCTCTCTGCTGTGGCCTGAGAAAGCAGTAGATGACCCAAGTCCTTGGGCCCCTGCACTCGCGTAGGAGACCCGGAAGAAACTCCTGGCTCCTGGCTTTGGATCAGCTCAGCTCCTGCCATTGTGGTCAATCAGGGATGAACCAGCGGATAGAAGAACTCTCTCTCTCTCTCTGCCTCTCCTCTCTGTGTGTAACTCTGCCTTTCAAATAACTAAATAAATCTTAAAAAAAAAAAAGTGTGGAGCAGCCAGGACTCAAACTGGTGCCCATATGGGATGCTGGCACGGCAGGCAGCAGATTTACCCATTATGCTACAATGCCGGCCCCTGTGTTAGCATTTGCCGCACCTCCCAACCTATTGGGGTAGTAGACAGGTGTAGAAAATGTAAGAATGGATTGAGATTTTCTCGTCCCTGGCTCTGCCTTGGAGTCCGGTGTGTGTGTCTTCATTCTTCAGTGTGGGCCCGGCCCTTCCGTGTGGCCTGAGGAGCCGTGCCCGCCAGCGTTTTCCTTAAACCTCGAGCTTCCGGTGTGACCCTAGACACGAAGGCCAGGTCCTTTTTCTTTTTTAATTAATTTATTTATTTGAAAGAGTGGTGGAGAGGGAGACACACAGAGAGAAAGATCTTCCATTTGCTGCTGCACTCCCCAAATGCATGGCCACAGTGGCCAGGGCTGGGCCACATTGAAGCCTGGAGATCCCGCAGGGTCTCCCACATGGGTGGCAGCAGCCCAAGCAATTGAGCCATCCTCTGCTGCCTTCCACGATGGGTCATCCAGGAGCCGGCTCACAGGCAAAGCAGCGGGGACTCGAACCGGCGCTCTGATATGGGATGCCAGCGTTGCCACTGTGCCACGAGGCTGGCCCCGACGCCAGCTCCTGAATGCACACTTTACTACCCGTGCATCTGTGATAAAGTGGTTGAGAAAAGGGAGCGGGTGCGGGTTGTCCCTTTCCCGCTGCTGACGTCAGACCAGTAACTGTGGCATCCTCGCTGCTGACGCCGTCGCTGCCTCTGTTCTTAAGTTCTGTGCTCTCGTTTCTTTCCGGCTCAGGGGACGCGCCTGGAAGCCCTGTTTAGATTTTCCGTCATCTGGCACCTGACACGCGAGATCCAGGGCAGCCGAGTGACGTCTCACAATCGCTCCTTCGATAGGTGAGGCCGCCGCCGCCGTCGTCAGAGTTCCCCTCCCGCGAAGGAAGTTCGGCAGGGTTCTTGCTCGGCATATGGGGCTGGGGTGGGGGGAGGTGACGTCTGTGCTGCACAACAGACGGTGCCTGTCCTCCCCTGCGGGAACGTGGCTGGACACACGTGGATACATGGCAGGAGTTTTCTTCACTTGCTCGGGGAGTGAGCAAGCCAGCTTGCTTCAGACCCTGCCTCCGCCTCGTGCCGTGGGCAGATGCAGGGGCCTCCCCTGGACGGGTCTGGCGGCTGCCCTGGGTGTGCACGTGTGTCACATGGCCGACCGCTTGCCTCAGGTGTAGACAGTATGCAGGAACGCTGTCCTCCATGCTGTTGCAGTCTCTGAAGCGCTAGGTGGGAGGACAGGCGTGCAGCAAGGAGCCCACCCCCAGGGGGAACACATTTTGGTTGAGACCTGGGCACTGGGGTTTTAAAGCGCGCCCTGGTGTTTCCAACCTGAAACCAAGGTTGCGAAGCCCTGGTCCTTGCCTGCTGGGATCTGTCATCAGGGCTTGGGTGCAGCTGCCCGGGGCGTCCGTGTGATGACACCACGGGCTCAGTGCAGCGTTCCCGCCCACAGGTCCTTGTTCGTGGTGCTGGACAGCCTGGCCTGCACGGACGGTGCCATCAGCGCGGCAGCCCAGGGCTGGCTGGTGCGCGCCCTCTCCCTCGGGGACGTGGCGCGCATCCTCGAACCCGTGCTCCTGCTCCTGCTGCAGCCCAAAACCCAGCGAACGTCTATCCAGTGCCTCAAGCAGGAGAACTCGGCTGGTGAGCAGCCCGCACGGGGCCCCGGGTGCGGGAGGGAGAAAACAGTGGCTGGACGCAGCTGCGTGGAGGGACTTGGGCTTCCGTGCTGAGTAGACACAAACAGCGAGAAAGGACTTTGGGAACCTGCGGGGACTTTGGCAATGTAAGGATCCGGTGAACCAGCACCTAGAAATACCAGGTGGTGAGTCTGCTGCTGTCACCAGAAAACTAGATCATTTTGTTATTGAAAAACAAAATTTTTGAAATAGACAGTCCTGTGCAATAAGACGCTAAGCCAGGGCCGGTGCTGTGGTGCAGCAGGGCGCGCTGCTGCTTGCCTTGCCTGGATCTGCCGTATCAGGTGCCGAGACGAGTCCCAGCTGCCGTGCTGATCCGGCTCCCTGCTCGTGCACCCAGGAAGGCCGTGCACGACGGCCGCTGTGCCTGTGCCCCTGCCACCCGGTGAGAGACCAGGATGGAGTTCCAGACTCCCGACTCCAGCCTGGCCCAGACCCCGCTGTCGTGGCCATCTGGGGAGTGAACCAGCTGATGGAAAATTTCTCTCTCTCAGTCTCTCCCTATTTCTCTCTGTAACTCTGCCTTTCAAATCAATCAATAGTTTTTAAATAGATAAGGGAAGTTTATTTTGGTGCAGAAATACATTTTTTCCACAATACCCAGTTCCACAGACTTGTTGAAGACCCCTGCATTTGTGAAGGTTCAGCTATGAGGTTAGTGGTTTCTCTTCTGCCTGCTCTGAGGTTCATTCCAGCTGCAAAGTCCTGTTCATCACAGTAGCAGAAATGCAAAAGAAATAAACCTTCTATTCAGAGAATTTCCAGAAGGCATCTGTAGCACAAGAGAACATAGGGGATCACAGGGAAGGAAAAGAAAAACTATGTAAACCTGACAGGTGCACTAACCCAGCACCGCTCGTGCCAGGTGCACTAACCCAGCACAGCTTGTGACAGGTGCACTAACCCAGCACACCTTGTGCCAGGTGCACTAACCCAGCACCACTCATGACAGGTGCACTAACCCAGCACAGCTTGTGCCAGGTGCACTGACCCAGCACACCTTGTGCCAGGTGCACTAACCCGGCACAGTTTGTGCCAGTGCACTAACCCAGCACCGCTCGTGCCAGGTGCACTAACCCAGCACCACTTGTGCCAGGTGCACTAACCCAGCATCGCTTGTGCCAGGTGCACTAACCCAGCACCACTTGTGCCAGGTGCACTAACCCAGCACAGCTCGTGCCAGGTGCACTAACCCAGCACCACTTGTGCCAGGTGCACTAACCCAGCACCACTCATGCCAGGTGCACTTACCCAGCACACCTTGTGCCAGGTGCACTAACCCAGCACACCTTGTGCCAGGTGCACTAACCCAGCACCCCTTGTGCCAGGTGCACTAACCCAGCACCCCTTGTGCCAGGTGCACTAACCCAGCACAGCTTGAGAACAGTTTTCTAGGTGGGAGTTTAAACTTCGAGTTAGTTTGTTTAGGTGGGTTACTCGGTGCTGTCTCAGTCTTCTCTTACCTAGAAACGTAGCCCAGGGGCAGGTGTTTAAGCCCGCAGTTAAGACACTTGCATCCCGTATCAGCGTGCCTGGGTTCAGTGCTCCTCATTCCAACTTCTGCTGAGGCAGCAGTGGGCCGCTCAAAGGGTTGAGTTCCTGCCACCCACAGGGGAGACCTAGATGGAGTTCCTGGCTCTTGGCTTCAGCCTGGCCCGGCCCAGCCCTAGTTGTTGGAGGCATTTGGGATGTGAACCAGCAGATGGAAATCAATCTCTCTCCCCCACCCCACCTCTCAAATAAATAAATATTTAATTGTTTTTTAAAAAGCCCAATGTTTGGGAAAGCAGGTGCATGAAACAGCCCCGCCTCTTGCTGACCCTGTGAGCCCTCGTAGCCTTTGGGAGGGAAAGCTGGCTGCCTTCTCCGAGAGCAGGCGCTGTGTTAGTCCGTGTTGCAAGAAAGCAAGACTTACGGAAGTGTACACTCAGCACCTTCTTAAAAGGTTGACAGCCAAGGCAGTAGGTCTCTTAGCATCCCTTTGCTTGGGCTTTCAAAGTCTCCCAGCACCTCCTGCTGCTTCCTTCCTGGGCACCTTCTGCCGGCCTCCTGGTGGGAGAGAGGGCTTCGCTCCCACCGTCTCTCCCTGGAGGAAGCTGGACGTGAGCGCTCACCTCCTCTCGCCTCTGCCATCCTCTAGAAACCTAGGTTCTGGACTTGGTGGTGCGCTCCATGGAGCTTCTCCGTTTCCGAAGTTCTGTCCTGGTCCTGTGCAATGTTCAGGGTGTGGATTGGTTGAAACCTGCAGAATTGAAATGTTTGGCAACACCAAAGACCTTTGTCTTTCACTGATTTGTGAAAATGTTTAACTGACATATAGCAATTGTACTATTTATGGGGTACAGTGTGAGAATTCAGTCCATGGATACGATGTGCAGTGACCGCATCAGGAGAGTTAGTGTTTCCGTGTCCTTAAACGTTTATCATTTCTTTGTGTTGGGATCCTTTTTTTGAGACTCGAAGGCCAGCATTGTGGCTCAGCGGACTAAAACACCACTTGCAAACCCAGCATCCGTCATCAGAGAGCCGATCCAAGTCCCGTCTGCTCTGTGTCTGATTCATCTCCCCGCTAATGCACCTGGGAAAGCAGCAGATGCTGGCCCAAGTGCTTGGGCCCCTGCACTCGTGTGGGAGATGCAGGTGGAATTCTAGGCTTCTGACCTCGGCCTGGCGTAGCCCTGGCTGTTGGGGCCATCTGGGGAGTGAACCAACCGATGCAAGATCGCTCACTCCCTGTCTCTTCCCCTCCCTCTGTCACTCTGCCTTTCAAATAAACAAATCTTGAAGAAGAGATTTAAATACTTTCAAATGTTGGCTGCTTTCAGGAATACTAGCACACTTATCTTAAAAACTGGAAGGGGGAAGTCCAAGCATTAGGAAGTCCCCCTGATGCAGGCTGAACGGCATGGGGGTAGGGGGTGGGGTGGGGATTGGCTGGGCAGGCAGCCTGGACGGCTGTCTCCTGGCTGTGTGCTGCAGACGCTGCCCCGACTCGGGCTCCTTCCGTGCCCACCACTCTGCAGCCCCGTCTCCCCTGCAGCTCGCTCCCATCGGCAGCCTGCTGCAGGCACGTCCCTGATGCGCCGCATCTCCTGTCTGTGGTCTGCACTCTGCTTCCCAGTTTGCCCTGGCACGGGACGTTGCCCCCGATCACTTCCAGGGACATCTTAGATCCCTGGTTTTCACCTGCTTTCCCCCAAAAGCTGTAATATGTAAATTCCCTATGATGGAGTAGCTAGATTCGCCCCTCCGTTGTCTGCCTTCTGCCCGGAATGTGATCTGGACTCCGGGGCTGTGGCTTCGTGTGGGAATTTTGTTCGCATTGAACTTCCCGTCTGTGCCGTCTGACTTGACTGTCCCAGAGCTGTTCGCCACAGCCACCCCTGGGTGCTAAAGCCGTTTGTGCTTCTGTCATTTTCAGAGGATTTGCATCGCTGGTTCAACAGGAAGAAAACCCCCTGCAAGCAGGCGTGCGGTGCGCCTGAGCTTCCGGAAGGCAGCTCGGAGGAACACCTGCCCCTGAGCCAGTTCACCACGGTCGACCGCGAGGCCATCTGGGCCGAAGTGGAGAAGGAACCAGAGCAGGGCCTGCCGCGGAGCGAAGTGAGTGAGGAGGACCTGCCCTACTATGTGGACCTCCCCGACGGGACGGCCCACGGTGCCGGGGACAGCAGCGAGCACACCGAGTCCGCGGACACCAGCTCCGGCCACACGGACAGCGAGAACACGTCCTCCTTCTCGTCCCCCTCCCACGAGCCACAGGAGCTGAGCCCGGACGAGAACTGCTGTGTGGCCCTCCCCATGGCGGGCAGGGTGTACCCCAAGCGCCCGTCCTTGCTGGCGGCCTTCCACTCCGAAAGCTTCAAGGCCGGCGCCGGGCTGAGCCTGACCCGGGCGGACTCGGACAAGACCCAGGCTTCGGAGTCGCTGTCGAGCGACGAGGAGGCCGACGTGGAGCTGCAGGCCCTCACCACGTCCCGGCTGCTGAAGCAGCAGCGGGAGCGGCAGGAGCGGCTGGAGGCCTTGTTCAAGCACATCCTGCTCTACCTGCAGCCCTACGACTCGCGCCGGGTGCTGTACGCCTTCTCCGTGCTGGAGGCCGTGCTCAAAGCCAACCCGAAGGAGTTCACCGAGGCCGTGTCCAGCACCAGCATGGACACCAGCTCCACCGCGCACCTCAATCTCATCTCCAACCTCCTGGCTCGCCACCAGGAGGCCCTCATCGGCCAGAGCTTCTATGGAAAGCTCCAGAGCCAGCCCCCCAACGTGTGCCCCCACTCCCTGCTCATCGAGCTCCTCACCTACCTCTGCCTGAGCTTCCTGCGCGCCTACTACCCGTGCTACTTGAAGGTCTCCCACCGGGACATCCTGGGCAACCGGGACGTGCAGGTCAAGAGCGTGGAGGTGCTGATCCGCATCATGACCCAGCTGGTCTCCGTGGCCAAGTCCGCGGAGGGGAAGAACGTGGAGTTCATCCACAGCCTGCTGCAGAGGTGCAAGGTCCAGGAGTTTGTGCTGCTCTCGCTGTCGGCGTCCATGTACACGAGCCAGAAGCGCTACGGCCTGGCCACCGCCGACCGGGGCGGGGCCCTGCTGGAGGACGGCGTCTTCGAGGAGAGCCTCATCCACCTGGGTCAGGACCAGATCTGGAGCGAGCACCCTCTGCAGATCGAGCTGCTGAAGCTCCTGCAGGTGCTGATCGTCTTGGAACACCACCTGGGGCAGGTGCAAGAGGAGGCCGGGAACCAGCCGGCGCTGGCGCGGGAGTGGCAGAAGACCCTCAACTTCCAGCAGGCCATCAGCGCCGTGCAGTACGTGCAACCGCACCCCCTCACCTCGCAGGGCCTGCTGGTGTCGGCCGTGGTGAGGGGCCTGCAGCCCGCCTACGGCTACGGCATGCACCCGGCCTGGGTGAGCTTGGTCACGCACTCCTTGCCGTACTTTGGAAAGTCCCTGGGCTGGACGGTGACTCCCTTTGTTGTCCAGATTTGCAAAAACTTGGACGAGCTGGTCAAGCAGTACGAGAGCGAGTCTGTGAAGCTGTCTGTCAGGTACGCTGACCCGTTTTGCCTCGGGTGCTGACGGGAGGTGACTTCAGTCTGGTCAGCAGCCTCTCTAGCATCAGCACGAGAGGTGTCAGGGAACTTCCAGTTGGGTTGCTTTATTTTTAGCTCTGTGCAGCTACCCAGGCTTTCTCAGTGTTGCCGGGAAAATCCGTTACTCTGTTAATTCTGCATAAAAATGTGAGTCACCTTCATAGAAATTCTACAACATCTGAAACCGTTGTTCCAAGGTGACACTACGAAAGTAAAATAGCACAAGAGATGCCTGTTTATTTAAAAACTCATTGCAGAGTCAGGGAGACAAGACAGAGTGAGCGAGCGCCATCTGCTGGTTCACTCCCCAACTGTGCACAGCAGCTGGGCCTAGGCCAGGACCAAAGCCAGGAGCAGGGAGCCATCCAAGTCTCCTACGTAGGTGGCAGGAACCCAGTGACTGGAACCGTCACTGCTGTCTCCTAGGATCTGGGACTCACACCCAGGCACTCCAGTATGGGACGTGAGCACCTTAGCCCCTTGGCCAACTGCACCCGCTCCATCTATCATTGTTATAACAGTATCTCATGATGAGAGCGTGCGTTTATTTAAAATGGTGACATCTGACTGATCCCATGTTTATAGGGAAGATTAAAACTTTGTGGCCTGATTTTCAAAACTTCTCACGGCCGGTTTCTCATGTCCTCACCACAGCACAACCTCCAAGAGGGAGAACATTTCTCCAGATTATCCACTCACACTTCTGGAAGGCCTGACAACCATTAGCCACTTTTGTCTTCTGGAACAACCCAACCAAAACAAAAAGGTACATTCTTTTTTGTGAATTCGAAGCAATTTTCGTATTTTTTGTTTGCCTTCATTGGGTTATGACTGCTTCAAATAAGTAAAGTATGCATGTAACATTTGTGAGAAATGTGTGTATGCAAATGATGATAATGCATATGCAGGTTGTAAATATATGCAGGCATCACGAATGTGCAATGAAATGTCGGGGGAGCGTGGTACGGATGGGTGTGTTATGCAAATGTGTATGTAAATGCATGCAAATAACGCAAATGCGGTTTTGTTCTTGCTTGAGCGGGCACTTCTGCCCTGCCCCGTGTAACTGTGTGGGGTGCGTGTGAAGCTGCTCGTGTTCATCTCTGCAACGTGTTTTCACTTGTCCTGCTGTTCATGAAATTGGAGACGGAAGCCATCAGAGCGGCTAGTTGCTCCACGCCATCCATGATTAAGCCTTAGATATGATTAAGCCTTAGAGTCCATCCAGTTCTTTGTCGAATGACAGAGCATGTGCAGCGCGGAGCCCCAGACTCCAGCTGCCTCTCCCTGCAAGCAGGCCGTAGTTGAAATGCACAGGGAAGCACAGTGCTTCCCGTAGCCTCACGTGTGGCTCTCCAGGGAGAGACTCCCGCAGCTCAGACCCAGCCCCACCAGCTGTAGCCGAGGCTCACGTGTTCGTTTTCATCTTTAGGCCATGGCTATCGGTGACCCCACCAACTTGAGAAATGCCAGGAACGCCATCCTGGAAGAGCTGCCCCGGGTGGTTAACACCATGGCCCTGCTCTGGAACGTTCTCAGGAAAGAGGAGGCTCAGAAGAGACCTGTCGACATCCTGGGGGGCGCGAAGGGCTCCTCCTCCGTCTACTTTAAAACCACCAAAGTGAGTGGCCTTTCTCCTTACTCTGCCTTCCGTTGTCCCTGCACAGCAATGTGCATCCTCAATCGGGTGCACTCCAGGAATGGAAGTCAGAAACACAAGTCTCCGGTTTGGTTGTTTCGTTTGTTTGTTTTAAAGATTCATTTATTTGGAAAGCAGAGTTACAGAGAGACAGAGAGAGAGCGAGGGAGAGAGAGAGAGGTCTTCCATCTGCTGGTTCACTCCCCAGATGGCCTCAACAGCCAGAGCTATACTGATCTGAAGCCACAAGCCAGGAGCTTCTCTGGGTCTTCCACATGGGCACAGGGTCCAAGGACTTGGGCCATTTCCTACTGCCATCCCAGGCCATAGCAGAGAGCTGGATTGGGAGTGGAGCAGCCGGGACTCAGACCAGCACCCACATGGGATGCCGGCACTGCAGGCCGCGGCTTCACCCGCTGCGCCACAGTGCCTGCCCCTCCAGTTTGTTTCTAAGGAATGAGCTCCCTGTACGTTGAACACGAGGATGTGAGTGGGTCTGGCCTCTTGTTTTTTTCTTCCTTTCTTTTTTGTAGCCTTGGAGGTGGGGACAGGTAGAGTCCTCACCTGAGTCTACAGGGTGGGGAAGGTCTGGCCCACAGGCCATGTGAGGCTGTGACATCATTTGGTCAGACCCCTGCCAAGGCAATCTCAGGCAGGACTCAAAATCCAAGTCTACAGCAGGCTGATTTTTAAGATGGCTCCGTGTGGCCCACAGATGATAGACCCAAATGGCCCCCTGCAGAAAACGTGTTCCCCACTCCTGCTCTACGGCATTTCTGCCCGAACGGCTTGTCTTGTGTTCAGGGCGGCACATCAGAGCGGCTCTGGGGTTTTGTGCTGAACCATCAGCCCAAAACTGCTGCATCGTGGAGAGTCCTTGGTGCCAGGCGTGGCCTCGGGGCTCACCCACAGCTCCTGGTGGCCCTGTTGTCCTGCACTGTGGTGCACACATGGCCTCCAGAACCTACCGCTGGTCCCCATGGTGCCCTGGGAGGGAATCCTGAGTTTGAAGCTGCTACAGGAACCTGCTTTTGGAAAATGTCCAGGGGCCAGTGTCGCGGCACGGCGGGTAAGCCTCGGCTTGCAGCACCAGCATCCCAGAGCAAGTCGTGGCTGCTCCACTTCGATCCAGCTTCCTGCCAATGCACCTGGGCAGGCAGAGAAAGATGGCCCAAGTGCCTGGGCCCCTGCCACCCATGTTGGAGATCAGGATGGAGTTCCTGGATCCTGGCTTTGGCCGGGCCCAGCCCCGACCATTGTGGCCATTTGGAGAGTTAACCAGTGAATGAATGATGTCTCTCCCTCTCCGTCTCTTCTCTGCTTCCTCTGTCACTCTGCCTTTCAAGTAAATCTTTAAAAAACAAAAATTCAGAAACTCACAGCCTCTCATGCTCAGTTTCCTTCCTGTAAACAGGCTCTGTGGTCGCCCTACTCCGTGGGCTGATGGAGAGTGAAGTCATCAGGCTTTTGTTGCACAATGAAGTACCTGAGGAAGGCGAACCTTTTTAAAGAAAGAGGCTTATTAGCCCGCAGGTCCCAGCACACGGCACTGGCACTGGCACTGGCACTGGCACAGGGGACGGGCCCCTTTCCCCCACCCCATTGCCCAGTGCCAGGCTCTGATGGGAGATCAGCGCGGCCAGGGAGGACATAGCAGGCACTCAGCAATCCGTCCACTCAGCCGCTGTGTGCCGCTGTGCACTGGGCCCTGTTTGTGTGTGCAGGCCGGCAGTGCAGGCTGCTCTGGCCATGTGCGGCCCACCCGGGAACCTGACTGCTGCTGGGGGTCGGCAGCGGGCTGAGCTGGACCCCAGGTGGGGAGGATTTAACTGGGCGGGTGTTTCAGGTGGGACGGGCGCCAGATTTGCACAGCAAGGAACACCGTGGGCAGGGCTCAGGAGCTGAAAAAAATCCACGAGCAGCGAAAAGGAGCATGGGGAATGAGGCCCAGGCGTGTTCCAGGAATCCTGTGAGCAAAGACTTGGTTGGCTGGTGCTTGTGGCCTGCAGGCTTCAGGGCCTCGGCCGAGGGGTCTCCCCGCGGAAATGGCGCTGACTCAGTCTCCCAGCATTGCGGGGCTTCTGGCCAGCCCTTCCCCAATCCTCCTGAGCGGCTGCGCCTTGACGTGGCACTGTGTGCCCATCGCACACACCCAGCTCCTCCAAGGCAGGGCTCTGGTTCCTCCTGCGCCCCAGGGTCCTCCAGCCAGGCAGCACTGGGTACCAACAGGACAGGCGTCCGCTCTCAGCGTGCACCACACAGTGGCCACGCATACCCAGGCAGGAATGAGTGCCCTCATGTCACTCTGCAGTAACTTTGTTTTTCTGTTTTCTAGACCATAAGACAAAAAATTCTAGACTTCTTAAACCCCCTGACGGCCCACCTTGGGGTCCAGCTGATGGCTGCGGTTGCCACAGTGTGGAGCAGAAAGAAAGCCCAGCGACACAGTAAGGTGAGGGTAAAGGTCGAGTGGGAGGAGTCGTTAGAGACATGCCCAAGGGGCGTGGGCAGCAGAGGTGACCCCAGAGGCCCACGGGAAAATGGTTGAATCAGTTTCACTGAAACTCCAAGCCGTGTCTCAGAACAACAAGGATTATGCCCAGGGGAAGCCCACCTCTCCCTCCCGTGTCCTAATGTGTAATACTTGTACTTACCGTGCCCTTGAGAGTGCTGGGAACACGTGCATTTGAAGGGAGGAAACCACCCAGGAGTGCACCCCTGGCCCGAGAGGCCATTCGCGATCCTCCTTGGAAAGCCATGGTAGGCCGTTTCCTGGTGGGGTTCTGCCTTCGTGTCTGCGGGTTGCACTTGGCCGTGATGGGAGAAGATGGGAGCCGTCAGGCCTGTGCATGCATGCATGTGTGTGCAACAACCGTGTTCTGCGGCCTCCCGGGCCTGGGCCTCCCTACCAGGGCCAGGTTGCGTGTACCTGGTCTCTGTCTCCTCCCTGTCTGCTTCAGATGGAGCACATCTCTCCCGAAGGTGCTTCCATAAATCCCAGGACGCCAGTGTTACTGCCACAGGGTCCACAGCACCTTCCGTTCCTGATGTGTGCTGGACACTGAACGCGATTCTGTAGTTAAGGGCCAGCTCGCTCTGTTCCCATCCCTGGGGTCCCTCCCACCGTCCACTAGGAAGCATTTGTTTCAAAGGTTGAGATGGGGGCAGGCCTTGGGCCCAGCACTGAAGGCTCCCGTGTCCTGCCTCTGCACCTGACTCCAGCTTCCTGCAACACAGACCGCGCGCCTCAACCAGCAGGAGGCCTGAAAGGGATTCCTGGCTCCCAGTGTTGGCCCCTTTGGCTGTCCCAGGCATTTGGGGGATTGACCCAGTGGCTCCCCCACTTGCTCGCTCACTCTCACACTCCCTCCCACCTCCCCCCACCATCTCTCTGTGTCTCAAAAAAAATTTTTTTAATGAAAACATCAGTTAGATATTTATTCCCATGTCCTATACTCAGTATTCTACAGATTCTAACGTATAATTCTCTTCAACCGTACCAAGTGGTAGATTTTAAAATCTCATTTTCCAGTTGAAGTAACCAAGACTCAGAGAGGGCAAGTGACCCTTGCAAGGTCACGGGATGAACAGGTGGCAGAGCGAGGACCTAAGTCCAGGAACATTGCCACTCGGAGTGGCATGTGGTCTGCATCCTTATAACAACTGAGTAAGCACTCTCCTGAAGTGGGTTGTTACCCCGTGCCTTCCTGCTGGCGTGGCGTGGCGTGGCGTGGCGTGGTGTGGCGTGGCGTGCCCGCGAGCTGGGCAGTAGGGAAGGGAGCAGAGCACCGGAACAGCTTTGCTGATTCGGCTCAGGGTTCACCTTTGCCGACTGCAGAGCCTGCCATCTCTAAGCCAGGCAGCCTCGGCTTTCTGTCGTGTCTGATAAGAGTCAGTCTCTCCTAGGACTAGAACATATTTTGGGACATCACTCTCAAGAGGAACCTAAAAAGTTAAATCGATAAATTTGTGCGCCACTGAGAATTCTTTGCAATCAAGTTGTCCATTGCTTCCTTCAGGCAATGAGCCAATTTTTTTTTAATTTATTTATAAAAGGGAACAAATTCCATGTATTTCACGTGTAGTTTGAAGAGCTTCCTACCATACCCTCCCTCCCTCCCACATTGTTCTTTAATGAAAACAAAGTTCTTTCCCCAAGGGCAGCTATCGTAGAACACTTCTGTGGGTCGGCCCTGTTCTGCCTTCTCTCTGTGAGCATTCAGTGTCCTCCCCCCCTCGGCAGATCATCCCGGTGGCCAGTGCCTCGCAGCTGACGCTCGTGGACCTGATCCGCGCGCTCAGCACTCTGCAGACGGACACGCTGCTGCACCTGGTGAAGGAGGTGGTGAAGAGGCCGCCGCAGAGCAAAGGGGACGAGGTGAGGGCCTGGGGAGGCGGCGGCCCTGCCACCCCGCTTCCTGCACACCGGGACTGGGAGGAAGGCCCGGGCAGCGAGGGCGAGAAGGTATACCGCTCCGTCCGCGGCCTTGGCCCCGGCCGGCCATCTGCTCTCAGCTGGCCGCTGCCCCTGCCCTGCCCGCCATCGGGGGCTGTCTCCTCTCCTCGCAGCCACAGAGTATGGAGCCAGCCTCCAGCCCAGGTGTAGACGGCGCCTGGGAACTGGCAATGGGCAAGGCAGGGAGCTCAGGAAAACGAAGAAGTTGGCAGGGAGAGCAGGGGCCGAGCCAAAGCAGGAGACGGGAAATGACCCCAAAAAGCGAGTCAGGGCCAGCCGATCACCGTTGCCAGGCTGTGTGGATCTGCCAGGTGCTTCTGCTCAAGGTTGGCTCCCGCAGGGGCTGGGACACAGGGAGCTGCCTGTTGCAAGGACTGCTCCAGGGTTCTTGAGAGAGACATTCCTGAGTCACAAGGTCACACAGATGTGTCAGAGGCCCGAGGGCGTATTTCTAACTGTGAGCTTTTTCTTGTTTTTGTCCTTATTATTTGACAGAGCTACCATCTGCTGGTTCACTCCCTCAAATGCCCATACCAGCCGGGGCCCGGGGGGGGTGGGGGGGGAATGGGCAAAGCCTAGAGCCAATCCAAGTCTCCCATGTCCATAGCAGGGTCCCAGAGGCAGGAGCAGATCTGGGCGTTGAACCCAGGCTCTCAGGTGTGGGACACGGATGTCTCAACCGCAGGCCAAAAATTTACCATTTATAAGCTTTTTTAAAGTAAGTGTCTTGGGGTCAGCATTGTGGTGCAGCTGGTTAAGCCCACCGCCCGCAACACTGCCATCCCATACAGGTGCTGGTTCGTGTCCCGACTGCTCCGTTTCTGATCCGGCTCCCTGCTAATGTGCCTGAGAAAGCAGTGGAGATGGCCCAAGTGCTTGGACCCCTGCACCTACATGGGAGACCCTGATGAAACTCCTGGCTTTGACCTAGCCCAGCCCAGCAGTTGTGGCCATCAGGGGAGTGAACCAGTGGATGGAAGATCTCTCTCTCTCTCCTCCATCTCTCCCTCTCTCTCCGTAACTCTGACTTTCAAGTAAATTAAATCTTAAAAAAAAAAAAAAAGTGATACCCTTAGAGAAAGAAGGCAGAGGCCAGGGCCCTGTCCACAGGTGTTTGTGGGAACAAGGGCGGCCCCGTGCTTTCCCGGCAGGCTCTGTCCTTGCTGGGACGCAGCTCCGTGGCTCTGGAACACGCACTCGTGTCTGCGCCAGGCTCTCGGGGTGAGGGGTCACCGAGTCATCCTACCGAGAGCCGCCGTTCTTAAGCCCAAGGCCAAGGCCTGGTTGCAGAGGGCTCAGGGGAGACTGACCAGGACGCCTTAACAAAGCAGAGTGAGAGGACGCAGCTCGGGCAGCTCACTGTGAGCGTGAAGGCGCTGGCTCCGGCCGCTGTGAAGCGGGACGCTTCGGGGTGATGGTGCTGAGCCCCGCCGCCCCGCCTGGTCCTGCTCGCTTTCTGCAGCGCAGGCGAGGGCCCTGGGCCCCGTACAGGCCTTTCTCAGCTCTGCACGGTGGATTCAAAACAGCACGCGCTTTGTGGTTTAATACTTTTCCCTTGGAGCTTTTTGTTTTTACCAAAGCAAACCTCTTTGTAGACAAGTGCAAGGAGCCGTCTTGCTCTTAATTTGCTGGAAGCAGGATTGATTTCGGTCTTGAAATAGTTGCCTTCTAACATGCTTTCCAGCACAAATTGAAAGCAGGGTCTTGAAGAGGTATTTGTACACCAGCGCTGTTAGCTGCATTATTTATAATAACATAACTTAGAAGTATCCCAAGACATCCAGCAGATGAACAGATAAACAAAATGAGATACAGGCTCAGCTTTGAAATGGAGAGAGATCCAAAACAATTTTTTTATTGTATTTTATTTGAAAGGCAGAATTACAGAGAGGGGGGAGACATCTTCCATTTGCCATTTCACTCCCCAAATGGCCACAAAAAGCCACATTTTTCTACATGCGCCTGGGAAAACAGCAGAAGATGGCCTGAGTGCTTGGGCCCCTGCTACCTATGTGGGAGGCCTAGATGGAGTTCCAGGCTCCTGGCTTCATCCTGGCATAGCCCTGGCCTTTGCAGACATTTGAGAAGTGAACTAGCAGGTGGAAGACGTCTCTCTCTTTCTCTCTCTCTCTCCCCTCACCCTTTCAAATAATAAAGCTTTTTAAAATATATATAGGGCTGGTGATATGGTACAGTGGGTTAAAGCTGTGGACTGCAATGCCGGCATCCCATATGGGCACTGGTTCAAGACCCAGCTCTCTGCTATAGCCTGGGAAAGCAGTAGAAGGTGGCCCGAGTCTTTGGGCCCCTGCACCCATATGGGAGACTCAGAAGAGGCTCCTGGCTTCAGATCGGCACAGCTCCGGCCATTGTAGCCATCTGGGGAGTGAACCAGCAGATGGAAGACCTTTCTTTCTCTCTCTCTCTCTCTGCCTCTCTGTAATTCTGCCTTTCAAATAAATAAATAAATCTTTAAATACATATATTTAATATGTATAAATATATATATAATATGTATATAAAATATGCATATATATATACACACACAGCTGCACAGATTAGAGATTCGGGATTAGGAAGCAGAGAGGCAAGGATGGGGTGACTGCCACAGCCCCCATTGGAGGGCCAGCCCAGGCTCTCCCGAGACCGTTGTTGTCCTGTTGCCTTTCACCCCTACAGAAACACGAAGTGGCTCGGCCCAGAGGGTGGAGCTGGGACGTAGCGCGCTGGGGGAGCAGTCAGGTCCTTGGCCAGTTTGCGCTCATGACTCTGAGCAGGTCTCAGGTCGACCTTGAGCTCCCACAGGAGGTCCGTGCCTGCTGCCTGACCCTCTGGCCATGGCCACGTTGGGGAACAGTCTGACCTGGGCCTGGCCCAGCCCTGGCTGTTGTGGCCATTTGGGAGTGAACCAGAGACCTCTCTGTCCTTCCTCTCTCTCTGTCACTCTGCCTTTCAAACAAATAAATCCCTCCCTCCTTCTTCCTCTCTCCCTCCCCTCCTGTCCTCCTCTGTAACTATTCAAATAAATGAATCTTCTAAATAAACAAATCTACCTATTCAAATAAACAGGTAACTTTTTTGGGAAGCAAAGCTTGGCTGTGCCGGGCCCGGTTCTGGTGCATTTTGGTGTGAATTCTCTCGGGCTGTGCTTGCAGCCACCCTGGAGTAATCGGCTGTGCTTTCGTTTCCAGAAGTCACCGCTGGCGGACATCGCCGTGTTGCAGTTCTGCTACGCTCTCATCCAAAGGTAACGCAGCGCCCTGGGAAACGTGGCCCAGGCGCAGAGGCCCTGGCTTCCTGTCCGGCCACCTGGTGAGCCCGAGGTCAGAACAGAGCTCAGGGTGTCTTCACGTCCTCCCGAGGCTTGGGGCGGCCTGGCCCGAGCGTCTTTACTCTTCCTCCCCCAAGGATCTCATTTAACATTTTGAGATCCACGTGCTGAATCCAGAGGACTCCTTGAAGTCAGCAAAGCCCTAGGCGAGGCCTCTGCAACTTTTTTTTTTTTTTTTTTTTATTGATTGATTGATTTGAAAGAGTTACAGAGAGGCAGAGAGAGAGAGAGGTCTTCCATCTGCTGGTTCACTTCCCAGATGGCCACAATGGCCAGAGCTGGGCTGATCCCAAGCCAGGAATCAGGAATTCCATCCAGGTCTCCCACATGGGTGCAGGGGCCCAAGCACTTGGGCCATCTTCTACTGCTTTCCCAGGCCATTAGCTAGAAGCTGGATCGGAAGTGGAGCAGCCAGGACTCTCATGGGATATAGGCACTGCAGGCAGCAGCTTAGCCTGCCCTGCCACATGCAACTTTAAAAGACTCAGGTCCATATTCAGTTGATAAGAAAAACAAAAACAAAACAGCAAAGAAAGACACAAAGCCCTCAGATAGGAAGGTGCTGGAGAAGTGACGGCTGGGCCTTGTTCTCCCACTGGGTGGCTTCTGCTTGGCCCTCCCAAACCCGGTCCCCCTGATGAGCAGGCCTGATAAAAGGAGGCTTTGGGGAGGGGACTCCCCGGATGTTCCTCCAGGGACACAGGAAGCGTCACCGGGCGTCCTCCAGACCCTAGGGCCCGGCAGCGTCCTAGCCACGGCTCCCAGGCCCCTGCTCCGCTGCAGTACGTGGGGGTGAGGGGCTGTAGGCCACTTCTCAGGGGAGCCTCTACCCCACGTCGCCACCAGGAGTTGCACGGTGAACAACTCTGGGATGTCCTTGGCTCACACTGTAACTCGCATTCAGCTCAGCTGAAGTTGCCAAGAGCTGAATGAAGGGTCCTAACCCCGGGGGCCCCCGGGCCAGGGCTTAAGTTCAGTCCCGCTGTCACCCCCCACCCGCAAGCATCACTGCGGCTCTCACCTCCCTCCTCACAGCAGACGGAGGTGAACGGTGACGCCTGCAAAGGCGTTACAGTGGCTCAGGCGGACTCCGCTTTCTGTGCAGCTGCAGGTTAGCTTCTGGCCGGCTGCCTTTAGCAGTAGACACAGTGAGTTGGGGACCAGGACTTGGGGAGCCGGGGCCCCCAGCTGCCTCTGAGCGTCAGTGGCCTGTGCTGGGCCACCTGGCTTTGCAGCAGGACCCCAGCATCCTCATCCCGGGGAGTCCTCTCCTGGGGGCTGCCGGGGGGCAGATCAGTCTCCTGGTCCGTGTCCCCCAACCCAGCGCCTTGCAACCTTCTGACAGAGAAGGCTGGGCCGGCGCCATCAGGGAGGTAGAATGTTAGCCCCAGAGGATCCCAGGATCTCGAAGCCGGCCGTGTAGTTTCAGGCCCGTATTTGATAGACAAGGAAGCCAGGAGTGAGTCACCTGCCCCCAGCAGGATTGCAGGTTCCAGGGCCCCAGCCGCTGAGCTTGTGTGTGTTGTCATGAAAGCAGCAGGTCGGCCAGATGGGCCGATGCCCCTCTGCCCAGGCCTGCTCGTTCACGCCTGGGTGTGTTCTCTTGTCTGTTGTCCACAGGCTGCCCACACCAGCCCTGCAGGAGAGCTTCGGCTCGCTGCTGGCCGTGCTGAAGGAGTCGGTGCAGCTGAATCTGGCGCCACCCGGCTGCTTTCTGCTCCTCAGGTACCGCGTCCGGCCTGACGTGTCCTCTCCTGGGACAGTCTGCTCCGGCCACGGTTCTGATCCGGAGCTGATTGTCTCTCTACAGCATGCTGAACGACTTTGTCACCAGGACCCCCAACCTGGACAGCAAGAAGGACCAAAAGGACCTGCAGGTCTGTAGGACGACGCGTCCAGCACAGCAGCCGCTCCATCCCCGGGAGGGGGCGGGGCCGTCGCTGTAGAGAGCAAACCTTGGGCAGGATCCGAGCGCAGCCTCAGAGTGGAAGGCCAACTGCCAGATACAGGGGCCAGGAGGGAGTTAGGAAACCACGATTTTGCTCCATGGTAAACACTGGTTGAGTCAGTGGCTTTTTGTCAGTGGCTTTTTTTTTTTTTTTTTTTTTTTTTTAAGTTTTGTTAAGACAGAGGGATCGAGAGAGGTCTTCTATCCACTGGTTTGCTCCACAAATGGCCGTAACACCCAGGACTGGTCCAGGCCAAAGCCTGGAACCCAGAGCTCCATCTGGTTCTCTCACATGGGGACGGGGCCCAGGCACTTGGGCCATCTTCTGCTGCCTTCCTAGGTGCATTAGCAGGGAGCTGGATTAGAAGCGGAGCAGCCAGCACCTGAACCAGTGCCCAGATACAGGATGCTGGCATTGCAGGTGGTGGTTAGCTCACCGTGCCAGTGTTGACCCCCGCCAGGCTTCCAGTTAAACAGCAAAGCCCTAGGCTGGTGCCACAGCTCACTAGGCTAATCCTCCGCCTGCAGCACCGGCACCCCGGGTTCTAGTCCCGGTTGGGGCGCCGGATTCTGTCCCAGTTGCCCCTCTTCCAGGCCAGCTCTCTGCTGTGGCCCAAGAGTGCAGTGGAGGATGGCCCAAGTGCTTGGGCCCTGCACCTGCATGGGAGACCAGGAGGAAGCACCTGGTTCCTGGCTTCAGATCAGCACAGTGCGCCAGCCGTAATGGCCATTTGGGGGTGAACCAACAGACCAACAGAAGGAAGACCTTTCTTTCTGTCTCTCTCACTATCTAACTCTGCCTGTCAAAAAAAAAAAAAAAAACAGCAAAGCCCTTGGTTCTAAGTCCAGGACTCACAGGTAACAAAATCCAGACAGTCAAGTCCCTTCTGTGCAGTAGCGGTGTTTGTGCAGAACCGGTACCCATTGTCCTGTACATGGTGAATCTTGTCTGCATTGCTTACAACACCTGACACAGCGTCAGCAGTTGTTCCACTGTATTGCTGAGAGCTTAAGGACAAGAAAAATGAGTCTGTATGTGTTTGATGTGGACACAACCATCACAGCCTCACCACATTGCAAGCCCCAGCCACAGTGTGACTTTCTGGAAATAGGCCCCTGTGACCTGAGCCTCTGACCCCACTGTCAAGTCAGGTTCCCAGGGTCCCCTCTTACAGATCAGGGTTCAGGTCACTTGCTGGAACAACTCGCAGATCTCAAGGAAATGCATTTGCTGCTTCATTGTCAAGGGCATCACAGGGACACAGAAGCAGAGATGTAGGGGCTGTGACGGGGCGGGACAGGAGCCTGCCTGCTCTCCCCACCACGCACCCTCCAGGAACCTCCACGTGTTCTCTGGCTGTCAGGGGTTTGTGGAAGCTCGTTACTGGGGAGCCCCTTCACCCTCGGGCCCCTCCCTCCTGAGCTGGCGGCCGGGCAGAAAGACCCAACTCTGGTCCTGCCTTGGCCTTGCTTTCTAAGGCCTCCCTGCCACCAGGAGCCTCCGGGGACTGCGGGGGCTGTGTGCCGGCAAAGGGGAGGGAGACCCGAGAGCTGTTTCCCAGTGTCCCACCCACACCCCCGGTGAGCTCAGTGCCCCTTTTCCTGGTGGTTTCTCCGTCTGGCACGTGGCACCCTGCCTGGGCTCCCCATGGCCCAGCCCAGGCGCACCTACTTCCCACAGTGCAGGGCTCTCGCTGGCACCTAGACCCATCTGCCAAGCTGTGAGCCTTGCCTTGCAGTCAGGCCAGGATTACAGCTCCTGCTAGTTGGGGTACTCGGTAATGCAGCCTGGGAAGCAGGCTCCAGGTGCCACCTTCGTCCCACAACTGCCCAGACGCTTTGCTGAGGACGCTATGATAGTGTACGGCTCACTCCACCCCCGTGTGCTCAGCACCTTAGTTTCAGCATGGGGACATGGAAACCAGAGCGCGAGTGACTCCATTTTGGTTGTCAGCCTGGCCTGTTGGGGCCCTGTTAGAGCTCAGTTCAAAACAGGGGACTTCTGTGGTTTTTATTTAACACCAGCTGGGAGACATGGTCCTTGAAAAACCAGAAACTCAAGCTGCTAATACAGTGTGCACCAGCTGAATACAGTGTGCACCTGCTGAATACAGTGTGCACCTACTGAATACAGTGTGCACCTGCTGAATACAGTGTGCACCTGCTGAATGCAGTGTGCACCTACTGAATACAGTGTGTGCCTACTGAATACAGTGTGCACCTGCTGAATGCAGCATGCACCTGCTGAATACAGTGTGTGCCTACTGATACAGTGTACACCTGCTGAATACAGTGTGCACCTGCTGAATACAGTGTACACCTACGGAATACAGTGTGCACCTGCAGAATGCAGTGTGCACCTGCTGAATGCAGCGTGCACCTGCTGAATGCAGTGTGCACCTGCTGAATGCAGTGTACACCTACTGAATACAGTGTGCACCTGCTGAATACAGTGTGCACCTGCTGAATACAGTGTACACCTACAGAATACAGTGTGCACCTGCAGAATGCAGTGTGCACCTGCTGAATGCAGCGTGCACCTGCTGAATGCAGTGTGCACCTGCTGAATGCAGTGTACACCTACTGAATACAGTGTGCACCTGCTGAATACAGCGTGTACCTGCTGAATGCAGTGTGTGCCTACTGAGTACAGTGTGCACCTGCTGAATACAGTGTACACCTACGGAATACAGTGTGCACCTGCAGAATGCAGTGTACACCTGCTGAATGCAGTGTGCACCTGCTGAATGCAGCGTGCACCTGCTGAATACAGTGTGCACCTGCTGAATACAGTGTGCGCCTGCTGAATGCAGTGTGCAGCTTTGCTATCAGCGTGCTGCCCTGGGTTGGGAGTGTTTTACCTGCTGTCACTCTCTGAAGAAGAATGGTGTTTATTGACGGTAGCAGAGCACCGCAGCGGGGATGCGCTTGCCGTGGTAACCTCTGAGCTTTTGAAAGAGGGTGAGGCAAGGGGAGGTGCTGCGCCGATCCGAAGCCAGGAACCAGGAGCCTCCTCCAGGTCTTCCCACGAAAGTGCAGGATCCCAAGAAGTGGGCCGTCTTCCATAGCTTTCCCAGGCCACAGGAGAGAGCTGGATTGGAAGTGGAGCATCCAGGTCCCAAACTGGCACCCACAGAGGCCAGCACGCCTCAGTGCCGGACTCTGCTCCACTTCTGATCTAGCTCCTTGCTAATGGCCTGAGAGCACAGCCCAAGTGCTTGGGCCCCTGCACCCACGTGGAAGACCGGGAAGAGACTCCTGGCTCCTGGCTTCGCTTTGACCCAGACCTGGTCCTTGGAGCCATTTGCAGAGTGAACCAATGGAAGGAAGACCTCGGTCTCTCTGTCTCTCCTTTCTGTAACTCTTCCTTCCAAATAAATAAAATGAAGCTTAAACACACACACACACACACACGAGGAAGACTGCATGAGGTATTTTTGAAACCGTGACTTTTGGCCACAGTGGTTAACACCCGGGCACAGGTCGAGCGGACGCTTCTTGGACAGCTATCTTAGCAGAAGCACTTCAGATATGGCCGTGGTGGTGTCTGTGATGCTGAGGTTCTGGTGGTGTCTTTGTGACAGCCACTGTCAGGGAGGCAGCCAGGGACTGACTGAACGAGGTAGGTCTGTCACTGGCTGCACACAGAGCACCTGTTCTGATTGATTGATGAGAGACAGCTCCCATCTGCTGGTTCACTCCCCAGATGCCCACAACTGCCGGGGTTGGGCCTGAGCCAGAACCTGAGCCGGGAGCACAACCCAGGCCTCCTGTGTGGACGGCAGGAACCCAACCACTTGAGCCATTACTGCTGCTTGCAAGCATGCGCATTAGCGAAAACCAGTGCTTGGGATCCAGAGCCAGTGTGAGGCCGCCACAAAGCACCAAACTCCGGAGCTAGAGGAAGGTTTATTGTCGAGTGGCAGAAGCCCAGCAGGCCTAGGGGAGAGGACAATAGGGTAAGATCAAGAGAGACCACGTGTCTGGAAACAGGTCCTGTTAAACTTTTGCCGCGGGCCGGGCAGGGAAGTGGGAGTAGCAGATCCCAGTGGGTAGGGGTGGGGCTGACACTGGTGGTTGGGCCATGGGGCTTAGGACCGAAGCTCACTGTGCAACGTGGTGACAGGGGCCAGGGCCTAAGATGGTGTCCAAGGCACAGATGGCGCCGCAGAGAAGACGGCACCATTTTACTAACAGCCAAGACTTAAGCCCAGGCACTCAGTATGGGATGCAAGTATTTTAACCAGCAACGTAACCACTAGGCCAAATGCCTGCCCCAAGAATCCATTGCATGAAGACACTTTGTGTGGCCAAAGCAAGGGGCACTGGAGTAAGGCCTACGTCTGTACCCCCAGTCATGGGGTGGGGTGGATCTATGGAGTGGCCTTGGGGGTGGGGACGTTTCAAGGGGGTCCCAACTGATCCCCAAGCTAATCTGTTGGCTGCAGCCTTTGGTGACAATGACAGACCTTGTTCCATCGAGGACTTGGGCTGCCACACGCCAGAGCACCTCTCACATCTCTGCAAAAAGACGTCCCGCGCTTGGGGGCAGAGTGTTTGCCCTGACAGTGAGAGGCTATTAAAGGCATGGCGTCTGTACCTGCCCCCAGCTTTCTGCTAGTGCAGACCCTGGGAGTCTGCTGATGGCACAAGCAATCTGGTTGCGGGTTCCCGGCTCCCAGCACCAGCACCAGCCTAGCCCTGGCCGTTGCAGGTATTTGGAGAGTGAAGCAGCAGGTGGAAGCTCGCTCTCACTCTTTCTCTGTATCTCTCTGCCTCTCAGAAAAAAAAATGCAAAAAGCAAGAAACTCAACACCGAGCTCAGCAGTCTCCCCTTCCCTCGAAACCTGCCGGCGTGATTTATTTATTTTTGTTATGTTTATTGTAAACTGCTCCACCATGATTCTGACAGCTGTCACCTCCCTTTCACACCACCCTGCCTGAGACAGTAGCTGTTGGCCACCTGTGGCAGGCACTTGCAGCATGGCCAGTCCAAACTCACTGTGCTGTGTGAGATTTCAAAGATGTAACACCCAGAAAATGCAAAATCTCATTAGGAATTCTGGAGTTCGTATTGACTGTTTGTTGATGATCCTTCAGATGGATTGTAGGTAGAATTTACTGTTAAGGTTAACTCCGACTGTTTCTGGACAACTTGGTGTGGCAGAGGGCTCCCAGGTGCTGCCCGCGTTCTGTCCCATCAGGCGGTGCTGTCTGGGGCCTGCGTTCTGTCCCATCATGGTGCTGTTTGAGGCCCACATTCTGTCCCATCGTGGTGCTGTCTGGGGCCTGCGTTCTGTCCCATCATGGTGCTGTTTGAGGCCCACATTCTGTCCCATCGTGGTGCTGTCTGGGGCCCGAGTTCTGTCCCGTCGGGTGGTGCTGTCTGGGGCCCGTGTTCTGTCCTGTTGGATGGTTCTGTTTGAGGCACTGACCCTGCTTTCCCTTAACTGACCTCCCTTCCTCTTTGTCTGGCGGCTCTCAGGAGATCACCCAGAAAGTCCTAGAGGCCGTGGGGACCATCGCGGGCTCTTCCTTGGAACAAACCAGCTGGCTGAGCAGGAGCCTGGAGGTGAAGGCCCAGCCTCAGGTGGCGCTGGAGGAATCCGACGTGGAGGAAGATCTGTATGGTGGGTGCAGGGCCCCAGGCACAGAGCTGGCCTGCCAGGCCTGCTGGCTTTTCCTGAGAATCTAAGTGTTCCCACCATACTCCTCCCCCAAAAAAGGGAGCAAAAAAGTGGCAGCCATTTGAGGTGATGGACATGCTAAGTAGCTTGATTATGATGGTTATTTCACTACCTTTTATTTAAACAGTTTTATTTATTTATTTGAGAGCTAGAATTATAGACCATGAGAGGGAGAGACAGAGAGAGAGGTCTTCCATCCATTGGTTCACTCCCCAAGTGGCTGCAACGGGCCGAGCTGAGCCAATCTGAAGTCAGGAGCTGTCGCTCCCCTACTCGCGGAGGAACGACACCGGACCCTGTGCTGTTCTCTTTGCCTGGCCCTTCCCGGGTTTGCTGCCGGCCCCCGAGCCTCCGCGGAGGGGTGGCACCCCCGCCGCTTCCCCCACTTCTGCGGAGGAGCGGCACACCACCGGCCGGCTCTCTCAGGGGTTCCTCAGATGTTCCTCCTGCATGTTGTCTCTCTCCTCCTTTATAGTCCTCTTCTACCAATCCCAACTCTGCTGGCGTTCTCTCCCCACGTGCTGAGCGCTGAGCACACTGCTCTCCTCCGATCAGGGGCAGGATCAGCTCCTGCAGCTTGTTAGTCGAATTGGTGAGGCAGCTGTGTGGAAGTTGTTTATTCCCTCTCAGCGCCATATGGTGGGAGATCAGGTGCATAGAATTAGTCTTAGCAGTTCCAGTAGTTTAGTCTCGGTTGCTCCCCACAAGGAGCCTGGAGCTTCTTCCAGGTCTCCCACGAGGGTACAGGGGCCCAAGTGCTTGGGCCATCTTCCACTGCTTTCCCAGGCCACAGCAGAGAGCTGGATTGGAAGAGGAGCAGCCAGGACTCGAACCAGCATCCATATGGGATGCCAGCGCTGCATTCAGAGGCTCTAGCCCACTATGACGCTGCGCTGGCCCCTTCAGTACCACTTTAAATTGTCAGTGATGCCTCAGTAAAGCTGGGAGGGGGGAGGTGTTGGAAAGTAAAAATAATAACAACAGGCCGGCGCTGCGGCTCAACAGGCTAATCCTCCGCCTTGCAGCGCCAACACACCGGGTTCTAGTCCCGGTCAGGGCACCCGATTCTGTCCCGGTTGCCCCTCTTCCTGTCCAGCTCTCTGCTGTGGCCCGGGAGTGCAGTGGAGGATGGCCCAAGTCCTTGGGCCCTGCACCCGCATGGGAGACCAGGAGAAGCACCTGGCTCCCTGCTTCAGATCAGCGTGGTGCGCCAGCCGCAGCGCGCCAGCTGCGGCAGAAAAAATAATAATAATAATAATAATAACAACAATAATGCAGTTTAAGCACAGGAACAAGCCAACTGCTTTCTTAGGTCTGTGTTAATTCACCTGCAAATTTCTTTTTCTTTTTCTTTTTCTTTTCTTTTTTTTTTTTTTCTTTGTCAGCAAACAGGCAGAGTTAGACAGTGAGAGACAGAGAGAAACATTTTTTTATTTTTATATTTAACCAAATTCTTCAAGCCGTGTTTTTCTTTAAGTTTTATTTATTTATTTTTATGTGTGTGAAAGAGCAACAGAGAGAGAGGCTCACTGCCCTGCTGCAGCTCAGGCGGACACCCCAGCATCTCACACCTTAGCTGGGCACGGCAGGGGTCCCGCAGGTCAGCTCGCAGGGTCACTGACAGGGACTCAGTGATAGAGCCCGAGTGGATAGACACAGTGGACATGCACACGGGGCCCTCGAAACATGGAAACTAAGTGGAATTTTTTGTTTAGATTTTACTTATTTATCTATTTGACAGAGTAGGGGCCAGTGTGGTGGCTTAGCAGGTAAAGCCATAGAGATGTATATCCTGAAAAAACTAGGTGTGTTTTCAGAATTTTTCTGCACCAAAATTACCTTTTAATTGCATTTTTCCAAACTTTTGCAGCCCTCCCATATTCTGAATGTTTATTTGAGTTTGTGTGGAAAGAAAACTTAGTCAATCCGGGGCAGGTATTTGGCTCAGTGGTTTAAGATGCCCCTGGGGGCGCCTGCATCCCATATGGGGAGTAACTTCTGATCCAGCTTCCCACAGCTGTGCACCTGGGAGGCAGCCGATGCTGGTAGCACTGGGCCTCTTGCAGGATTCCTGGTCATGAGATAAAGCAGTCGCATCGTTGTGTGGTCTGCTCCAGAACACGGAGCTGCGCAGAAGTGCACAAGCAGGTGGGTGGGTTTAGCTGGTGTTGGGTTTCCCTAGGGGAGTGCTTGAGAGGAGATAGGGTTTTTTGCCAGGTAGAGAGCTGGCCACGGGAGGGAGGCAGGGATGCCAAGGCCTGCCGAGGGGCTGGTGGTACAGGTGGCAGGCACGAGGGATGGAAGGCCACCCCAAGGAGTTGGGAAAAGGGACAAGTGGCGGTCAGAGCTGGGATCAGAGGTTTAGGCTGTGGGGGGTTTGCAGACTGATGAGATCTTAGGTGACGGTGGCAGTTGGTGGCCAGGATGGAGTAGAGGAAGATTTTGAAAGAGCCAAGGGGGCTAGCACTGTAGCGTAGCAGGTCCGGCATCCCATATGGGTACCAATTCAAGTCCCAGCTGCTCCACTTCCGATCCAGCTCTCTGCTGTGGCCTGGGAAAGGAGCAGAGGATGGTCCAAGTCCTTGGAGGAAGCTCCTGGCATCTGGCTTCAGATCAGCCCCGCTCTGGCCGTTGTGGCCATCTAGGGAGTGAACCAGCGAATGGAAGACCTCTCTCTCTCTCTGCCTCTCCTTCTCTGTGTGTAACTCTGACTTTCAAATAAATAAATATTTTTAAAAAAGAAAGAACGAGCGAGCAGAAGTTAGGCCCGGGTTTCATCCATGGGGGTGTCTGAGCTGCAGGGGTGGTTGCGGGAACAGAAGCGGGGCAGGCAGTGAACAGTGGCCGCCCATCACGGTGAGACGTGGATGCCTCCTCTGTCAGCAGGTGCCGCTGCAGCCTCCACCATGGTGTCTGCATCCGCCCCTTCGGTGTACAGCGTGCAGGCCCTGTCTCTCCTGGCAGAGGTGAGCGCCCCCTGCCCCCGGCTGGGAGCTCCTCTCAGTGCAGGTGCCCAGGGGCTGCACCCCACCCCCACCATGGGAGTGTGGAAGCCCAGGGTTTCCAGGGTGCCCCTCTCTTGTGAAGCTCCCCGCTTTCTTCCCTTCTCCATCTCAGGTTCTGGCCCCTCTCCTGGACATGGTCTACAGGAGTGACGAGAAGGAGAAGGCCGTGCCTCTCATCTCCCGCCTGCTGTACTACGTGTTCCCTTACCTGCGCAACCACAGGTACCGCCCAGCCCGGCGGCCCATGCGATGCGGGAGAGCAGGTTCTCGTGGCCAGTCTCTGACCGTGACCCTTTGCTTCGCCCCATTTAGCACCTACAACGCCCCCAGCTTCCGGGCCAGCGCGCAGCTGCTGAGCGCCCTGAGCGGCTACGCCTACACGAAGCGAGCGTGGAAGAAGGAGGTCCTGGACCTGTTCTTGGACCCTGCTTTCTTTCAGATGGACACGGCTTGCATCCAGTAAGAAACGCCGTCCTGTAGAATGTGCCCTCAGGCCCCAAGCGGAGCAGGGTTTGGGTTTATGTAACATTGACCCAAATACTAGGCTGGCCTGTCCCGGGCTCGCCTGTGACCCGTGGGTTCATGGGAATGCCCCTGCCTCTGTCCATCAGCGCAGCCTCTTCCCGGGGGAGGGTCCTCTCCGCTTGGCCTTGTCTCTTCCTTACACAACAAGGAATTTTTGTGTCGCGGAAGTTTCCGAAGGCAGTTTCTAGTATTGCTCAGAGGGGTGTGTCCTTTCGTTGGTGCTGTTACTCAGACTCATCCGTTGCATGTGTAACTAATTTTGATTTTTTTTTAATAACCAGTTGGAAGTCCATTATTGACCACCTTCTGACTCATGAGAAAACAGTGTTTAAGGATTTAATGAGTAAGTTCTGTGTTGCTCCCACGCAGTCACACTGGGGAAGCCTGTGCGGCTCTCTTAAGCTGCGCACAGTACTGCTTGCGCTTTACTGCTCGAGACCACATGGGGCGCCCATGAGGCCGAGTGCCTCCACAACCCATTGTCCCGCATCACGGTGTAGACACCGTGAGCTGGTGGGTTTTCTGTGGTGCGTCAGGAGTGCTTTCCTAACCCCATGGTGAAAGCAACAGGAGCACTGATGACATCCCGCTCCCTGCACAGAGCTCATGGTTCCTGGGCAGGGAGGGCACGCGTTCCTGTCCCTGGCTCTGGCTGTGGCTTCTCTGAGTGGGGCCTCTCTGCTGTGTTTGTCCTAGACATGCAGAGCAGTTCTCTGAAACTCTTCTCGAGTTTTGAGCAGAAAGCCATGCTGCTCAAGCGCCAGGCGTTTGCTGTCTTCAGTGGAGAACTGGACCAGTACCACCTTTACCTGCCCCTGATCCAAGGTAAGACGGCAGCCTGCGTCAGCTGCCTGCTGCCCCGCAGGTGCCTGCGCCCGGGCGGCTCCAAAGCAACTGAGAGTGATCAGCTCACAGCTCTGGAGGCGGGGAACCCACCGCTGACAGGCTGGTGTCTGGGGAACCCTGCACTGACAGGCTGGCGTCTGGGGAACCCTGCACTGACAGGCTGGCGTCTGGGGAACCCTGCACTGACAGGCTGGCGTCTGGGGAGAGCCTTCTGCCTGGATTCCCACGGGGAAGGCAGAGGGCAGGAGGGCAGAGGCTGAACTTGCCCACCAACGCAGCAAGGGCCGGAACTTCCTAATCACCTCTTCAAAGCCCCACCTCCCCGCATCATCTGGTCATTAAATTGCAAACTAAGGGGCTAGCATTCCAACCACAGCAGTGGCCCCGCCCCAGGCACACCCCACTCCACCCCCTCCCCCAGAGCGGCTCCGTGGGCAGTGAGCAGGGGGGCCACAGCACACAGAGGTCAGGTACTGCAGCGCGTGCTGTGCAGGCACCTGTTACACACAGCAACTTCCCAACTCAGTCGCTGAATCTGAAGCTTTGTTTTATAAGTCAGTTATTATGCTATTAATTCTTATTAGGTGGATTGCAGTAGGGCAGGCACTGGTGCTCCACAGGTTAAGCAGACCCCGGGACACCACAGGCCATATCCTTGACTGCCTGGCTTGAGTTCTGGCTGCCGCACCCTGATCATGGCACAAGTGATTGGGTCCCTGCCCCCCACGGGAGACCTGGATGCAGCTTCAGGCTCCTGGCCTTAGCCTGGCCCAGCCCTGGCTGCAGCAATCATTTGGGGACTGAACAATGGGATGGGAGATTCTGTCTCACGCTCTGGCTCTTATTCTGCCTTTCAAATAGATGAAAATAAGTAATTTAAAAATTGAAACATAGGTGCTATGGTGTAGCAGGTTAAGCCGCCACCTACAGTACCAGCATCCATGGGCCTTGGTTCCACTTCCAATCCAGCTCCTGCTAATGCGTCTGGGAAAGCAGTGGAAGATGGCCCAAGTGCTTGGGCCCCTGTACGCACGTGGGCGACCTGGAAGAAGCTCCTGGCCCCTCGTTCAGCCTGGCCCAGCCATGGCCATTTTGGGGAGTGAACCAGCAGATTGGAAGACCTCTCCTTCTCTTTCTGTCTGTAACTCTGCCTTTCAAATAAATAAGATAACTCTTTAAAAATTAATAAATAAAAATTTGAAAATGATAGAGGTCTGATAGTGTGGTGCAGTAAGGATACTGATCCCTTCACCGGGGCTCCTGCTGGGCTCTTGCTGCGTCCATGCTACTTAGATCTGTAATCGGCACTGCCTCAGTCCACACTCTCAGCGGAGGCCAGTGAATGGTGGAGATTTTGGAAAAGGCCTAGTTTTTTGCTTGTGGTTGTTTTTTCTCTTTTATGTATCCATCGTATTCTTTGCACTGAAAATGAATTACCATAGATATTGAGCATGATTTCTTTTTTTTAAGTCCCTTTTTTCTGTAAGATTTATTTATTTCATTTAAAGGCAGAATTACAGAGAGACAGAAGCAGAGAGAGAGAGAGAAAGAGAGATCTTCCATCTGCTGGTTCACTCTCCAAATGGCTACAACAGCCAGAGCTGCGCAGATCTGAAGCCAGGAGCCAGGAGCTTCTTCTGGATCTCCCACCCAAGTGCAGGGGCCCAAGGACTTGGGCCATCTTCCACTGCTTTCCCAAGCCCTAGCAGAGAGCTGGATCGGAAGTGGAGCAGCCAGGGTTTGAACCGGCGCCCCTGTGGGATGCCAGCACTGCAGGCAGCGGCTTTGCTATGCCACAGCGCCGCCCCGTGAACATGATTTCAAGTAACATTTTTTTTCTTCATAAAATGCTGAAGTGGAAGATCTGTTTTTAATTAATTCACTCTCTTCCAAGATAGGCAAGATTCTCAAAAAGAAATATATGTTTCTTAATATTCATAGCCAAAGTGGAATCAAATAAAATTGATAGTTCTTGAAGAATTTTGTTATTTAAGGCTGATGTAATGAAACATTTTGCAAATACTAGGATCATGCTATAAATCCTTTGGGGTTTATAAAATCCATCAAGGTTTCATCATATGCAGTAAAGGTCACCGTTTGGGTTAAACGGTTCTGTGAAGTCTTTTTTCGAAAGGCAGAACGATAGAGCCCTTCCACCCAGTGGTTCACTCCCCAGATGCCCGCAGCAGCCGTGGCTGGGCCAGGCTGGAGCCAGGAGCCGGGAGCCAGAAACTCCAGCTGGGTCTCCCCTGTGGGTGGCAGGAACCAGAGTACTTGAGCCATCCTGTGGTCCCTCGCAGACTCATTAGCAGGAACTGGATCCCGAGTAGCCAGGACTTGAACCAGAAATACTGATACAGGATGTGGGCCTCCCAGCCAGTGGCTTAACCAACAGCACCACAGCTGACCCGCTGATTTTTGTGTGTTTATATTATTATTGACATCATAATTATTAGCAGTACTAATAATTGTGTGATTACATAAATGCTAATATTTGTATGATTATGCTATAATGACAGTTTATTCATATAAAGGCAGCATAATGCTGACATGATCAGGTTATTTTGGGAGCTCGTAGGGAAAGAGGAATTTCTGTATATGTAGTATGTACCCTCTACTTTGTCGGGTTTTTTTAAAAAAGATAATTTATTTTTGAAAGGCAGAGATCTTGCATCCTCTGGTTTACACCCAAAATGCCAGCAACAGCCAAAACCAGGAGCCAAGAATGGCATCTGGTGCCGGCGTTGTGGCCGGCATCCCATGTGGACGCCAGTTCAAGAGCTGGCTGCTCCGTTTCACATCCAGATCGCTGCTATTGCGCATGGGCTCCTGGCTCCTGCTTCAGCCTGGCTCAGTCCTACCCAGCCCTGGATGGTGTGGCATTTGGGGAGTGAACCAGCAGATGGAAGCGCTCTCTCTCCTTTTCTCTCTTTAACTCTTTCAAATAAAAAATAAAAATCTTTAAAAAGAAGAAGAAAGGACTAGGATATAATATGCTGACCTTATCTTGCCCAGAACCAGGGTACAAACCACTCGTGTTACAGGTGTCTGAGCCGTGCATGGGCCGTGATTTCACAGAGTCCTTTCAAAGGCGAGCGGTAAAAGCCCACCGAGGCTCGCTCAGATAGAGGGGTCCATCTCTAAGTGTGCAGCCAACCTTAGCCGGCACAGCCACAGCTCAGCTGTTCGCTGTAGCGTTTGCTGCATTCCTGGGAGACTTGAGGCTGTCAAGAAAAGACAAAGTCACGTTCTACAATTACTTCAGTGGAGAAAGAGGGTGTCAGGCGCCAGAGAGTTTGGCCTGCGGCTTTGTCCAGCTGCAGGAATTAAAGTTTTTGTGCCAGCCATGAAATCTCAGCCTGACTGGGTAAATCTGTTGTATTTTCTGCTCCACCTCCGGCCGTGGAGCTGTCTGCCAGCCGAGCTGCAGGATCTGCAGAGCCTGGCCCTCCCCAGGGGCTGTCTGCGGCCTCGGGGTCCGATAGTTCACGTCCTCAGAAGAGGAATGAGCCGGGTCAGGGCTCCCTGCCCTCCCTCCCAGCTGTGCTGAGCGCTGTTCCTTGAGCCGTGGCCACCAACTGCTGTCATCCACAGCACAGAGGGCTGCGGCTGCCCGCCTTGCGTGGGGACAGCATTCTCCCAACACTCGCCCCTAATGCTGAGCTGTCTTCAGAATGTCAGAGCAGGGAGAAAATCCACACACACGTGCACACACGCACACACGTGTGCACACACACACACACACGCACACACACGTCAAAGCTGTTACAGTTTTAATTTTCTTCTCTGGTTAATGAGCCCCCCCCAACCCTGCATATCTGTGTGACTTGTTTAAAATCTTCTTTCCTTAGAACGCCTGACAGACAATCTCAGAGTGGGACAGACATCCACAGCTGCTGCTCAGATGTTTCTTTTTTTCAGAGTCTTGCTGCTAAGAATATCTCCTCAGCATTTGACTTCACTGTGGCCAATCATGGTCTCTGAGCTGGTGAGTGCAAGGGCTTTCCTCTTGGAGCTTTCTTCTTTAAAAGGGGGCGCCGGCGCTGTGGCACAGCGGGTTAAAGCCCTGGCCTGAAGCGCTGGCATCCCATATGGGCACCGGTTCTAGTCCCAGCTGCTCCACTCTGATCCAGCTCTCTGCTGTGGCCTGGGAAAGCAGTGGAAGGTGGCCCACGTCTTTCTGCCCCTGCACCCATATGGGAGACCTGGAAGAAGCTCCTGGCTTCAGATCAGTGCAGCTCTGGCCATTGCGGACTACTGGGGAATTAACCATTGGATGGAAGACCTCTCTCTCTCTCTGCCTCTCCTCTCTCTGTGTAACTCTGACTTTCAAATAAATAAATAAAACTTTAAAAAAAGACATAAGAAAGCTACAGACTGATAATTTTTTTAAAAAAGATTTTTATTTATTTATTTGAGAGGTAGAGTTGCAGACAGAGGGACAGACAGAGAGAGAGGTCTTCTATCCTCTGGTTCACTCCCCAGATTGCTGCAATGGCTGGAGCTGGACCAATCTGAAGCCAGGAGCCAGGAGCTTCTTCCAGGTCTCCCACGCGGGTGCAGGAGCCCAAGGACTTGGGCCATCTTCTACTGCTTTCCCAGGCCATAACAGAGAGCTGGATGGGAAGTGGAGCAGCCGGGACTAGATCGGGTGCCCGTATGGGATGCCAGTGCCGCAGTGGAAGTTTAGGCCATCATACCACTGTACTGGCCCCTCTTGCAGCTTTTTAAAATGCATTTTCATTAACACACGACATGATGTCCACTATGAGTGTGCTTTATCTAGAAGCTGTTTTCAATCAGGTTGCTAGCACATAGCCAGCTCCTGGTTAAATAAACAATTAAGATTTATTTATTTATTTATTTATTTATTTTTAAAGATTTATTTAATTGAAAGAGTTACAGAGAAAGGTAAAGACAGACAGAGGTCTTCCATCCAGTGGTTCACTACTCAAATGGCCACAATGGCTGGAGCTGAGCTGATCCAAAGCCAGGAGCTGCTTCTGGGTCTCCCACATGGGTGCAGGGGCCCCATCCTCTGCTGCTTTCCCAGGCACATTAGCAGGGGGCTGGATCAGAAGTGGAGCAGCCAGGACTTGAACCGTCGCCCATATGGGATGCCTGCCCCGGGGTTTAGCCCACTATGCCACAGTGCCAGCCCCAGGATTGATTGATTGATTTGAAAGGCAGAGATGGTGATGGATCTTTCATCTACTGGTCCATTCCCCAGTGGCTGCAACAGCCGGGGCTGGGCCAGGGCCAGGCTGAAGCCGGCAGCCAGGAACTCGGGGTGGCAGGGATCCATGTGCTCGGTCCATCCTCCACTGCTTTCCCAGGCGCATTAGCAAGGAGCTGGGTCAGAAGCAGAGCAGCCCAGCCTCAAATCAGAACTCCTGTATGCAATGCCAGCATCATTAGCATCAGCCTAACCTGCTGTGCCACAAGGCCAACCCACGTGAAGAATGTTTCCTCTTAGATCAGCTTCACCTCTTGCCTGTCACTCACTCCAGCTAATCCGTAGCGCTTGCTAGTGTTTGCTAGTGTTACGTGGCTGTACACCTTTGGGGAAGTTTCCGGTGTCTCAAATAGTGACTGGAACACCCATTTTCTTTTTAAGATTCAGACATTCATACAGCTCGAAGACGACCTGAAGGAAGACGAGTCCGCACGGTGAGTTAGCCCAGAGCCTGTGCCCGAGTGCCAGGCCGGCCGCGACTAGCGGACTTGGCTTTATGGCAGGCGGCTGCCTAGTGCTGACGGCAGCTTCCTGGTCATGGCACCAGCTGTCCCGGAAACTTCTTTAAAAAAAAAATCCTTCTTGATGCTGCTTCCTACGCAAATGGGCGGTAGCAGATGCGGATGGATTTCTAACAGGGATTTCTTTGTGAATTTATAGAAACAGCAACAAAGTAAACAGAGTGAAAGCCTCAGCCACCGATGGCAGCGGGCCGGCCGCGGGGGAGATGCCCCCGAGTGAGCTGCTCTTGTATTTGTCGGCTTGCAAGTTCCTGGACACCGCACTTTGCTTCCCGCCCGACAAGATGCCGCTATTTCAGATGTAAGTCCACACCGACGTCGGTGGCTTCTCTGCTAATGAGCGCGTTCGCATGCTCGTCCACGGGTGGTACACGAGGAGCCACGGGCCCCGCGAGCCCGTCTCCGATGACCCTCGAGGTCCGTGGCTTCGTGCCCTGGCCTCACAGCGCATCCACAGATGCGCCTGTCGCGGGAAGCGGGCGCGCGTGTTTAGCTGGCTGTGCAGCTTCATTGCTTATACAATCCGGGCCTCCCACAGCTGCGCCTCACGGCCTGTGTGTGGGTTTTTGTTTTTGTTTCGGTCTGTTTTCAGTTAAATGTGGATGCCTGTGTTTGGAGCATGCAGCCTCCGATTCAGGCATGCGTTTCCTGTGGCCCTAATACAGAGTGTCCACGTTTCATGTCCCTCCACTCCGCCCGGAAGGCAGTCATTGGGTTCCCAAGTGCACGTAACTGCATGAAAGAAGCCAGTCGGAAGAGGCCACACTGCGTGTCGCTCCCGTTCTCTGACATTCTAGAAAAGCTGTGGCTGCAACACGGGATCGTGAGGGCAGTGACAACGCTGTGTAAGACACTGTGGTCACCGCGCGCTCGACCACCCCGAGCGAGCCCTAGTGACATCTGTGGACCCTGGGGGGTGATGGCGTCTCAGTGCAGCGGGGCCGGCGGTGTCCGTGTGGGGCTGGCGTCTGTGGGAGCTGAGTTGTGCTGTGACCAAAACTGCTCCACAAAAGGAAGTCTGTCTGTTCCTAAAGCAGGCTCTTACAGACACAAATGACACGGCAGCGTTATCCGTGATAGGCAAGGGGTGACGGCAACCCCGTGGCCACCTGATGAACTCATAAGTAGCGTGTGCCGTAGCCATGCAATGAAATCCCACTCAGCCGTGAACAGAAATGCAGCATTGGGACCAGCGTCGTGGTGCGGCAGGTTAAGCCGCTGTTTGCATCCCAGCATCCCATATCGAAGTGTCTGTCCCAGTTCCGCTCCATGCTAATGTGTCTGGGCGGGCAGCAGAGGCGGCTCAAGTGCTTGAATCCCTGCCTCCTCATGGGAGACCCGGATGGAGTTCCTGGCTCCTGGCTTCAGGCTGGCCCAGCCCCAGCTGCCGTGAGCATTTGGGGAGTGAAGCAGCAAATGGAAGCTCTCAATCTGTCTTTCTCCATCACTCTGCCTTTCAAATAAGTAAATCCTGAAAAGGAAAGAATGAACTGATGTGTTGGTACCTACTAAACATGGATGAAGCCTGCAAGTGTGACACGGGAGAAGGAAGCCGGTCCCAGAGGAACATGGGCAGGGTCCCGTCCACGCCGCACGTCCTGAAGAAGGAATTCCGTAGAGCACAGAAAGTAGTGCCCGGTGGCCCAGATCCCAGGGGCAGATGGGGAGGGGTGGCCGCAGGGAGCAGGGCTCCTTGGGGTAAAATACCCAGCACTCAGTAGTAGGGGTCCACACACTGCATGGAGGAGCAGCCGTGGTGTCACACACGCACTGTGGGTATTGTGTGGGTCTTCATGGAACCGTTGGAAACACCCGGAGGTGGTCCCTGGGCCGGCACACCTGACCTTGGCTTTCTTCCCTCCAGTTACAGGTGGGCATTTGTCCCAGAAGTGGACACAGAGAGCTCAGCCTTCCCATCAGAACTGGAAGAGGGTCACCAGGAGTGCAGACCCCACACTGTCAGGATTCTAGAACTTCTCAGATTAAAATACGGGGTAAGTGTTTTCCTTTTTAGAAATTGTATCAGGGGCCAGTGCTGTGGCGTAGCGGGCAGAGCCTCTGCTTGCGACACCAGCATCCCATGTGAGCACCACTCCGTGTCCTGGCTGCTCTGCTTTCCAATCCAGCTCCCTGCCAAGGGCCTGGGAAAAGCAGCAGAGAATGGCCCAAGTGCTTGGGCCCCTGCTACGCACATGGCAGACCCGGAAGAGCTCCTGGCTCAGCTCCAACCATTGCGGCCATGTGGGGAGTGAACCAGGAGACAGAAAAACCTCTCTCTCTGCCTCTGCCTCTCCGTAACTCTGCCTTTCAAATAAATAAAAAATGTAAAAATAATAATAAAGGGGCAGCGCTGTGGCTCACTTGGTTAATCCTCCTCCTGTGGCGCCAGCATCCCGTATGGGCACCGGGTTCTAGTCCTGGTTGCTCCTCTTCCAGTCCAGCTCTCTGCTGCAGCCTGGGAGGGCAGTGGAGGATGGCCCAAGTGCTTGAGCCCCTGCACCTGTATGGGAGACCAGGAGGAAGCACCTGGCTCCTGGCTTTGGATGGGCGCAGTGCCGGCTGTAGCGGCCATTTGGGGGGTGAACCAATGGAAGGAAGACCTTTCTCTCTGTCTGTCTCTCTCACTGTCTACAACTCTACCTCTCAAATAAATAATAATAATAATAAAATAAAGATTGTATTCATTCTCTGTTTCTCCCTCACTGTAATTCTCCCTTTCAAATAAATAAAATAGATCTTTAACATACATACATACATAGCAATACATCAAGGCTGTGTCCACAGCAGAGGGAGGGCAGGGCTGGGCCGTGAGTAATGAGCTCCATGTGTCACCTGATTGCAGTGACCACGAAGCATCTTCAGGAATCATCCCTTGGTGTCAGAGCCCTGGTGGTTATAAACACCGCTGTGTTCTCTCATGCCTGTGTCACACAGACTTTCTCATCGCGGTGCCAAGAGGCAAAGCTGCCTGGCTGACACAGCCACCCTGAGGCCCCTCAACCCAGGGCTGCAGCGACTAGAGTCTAAATAGAAGCAGTGCCAGGCTGGGCTCAGGGTGGACACCGTGGGCGGTGGCGGCCAGGCGGGGCTCAGGGTGGATACCCATGGGTGGGGGCAGCCGGGCTGGGCTCAGGGTGGACACCGAGGGCAGCGGCAGCCGAGCTGGGCTCAGGGTGGACACCATGGGCGGAGGCAGGCCAGGCTGGGCTCAGGGTGGACACCGTGGGCGGAGGTAGCCGGGCTGGGCTCCGGGTAGACACCCGTGGGCAACGGCAGCCGGGCTGGGCTCAGGGTGGACACCGTGGGCGGAGGCGGCCGGGCTAGGCTCAGGGTGGACACCGTGGGCGGAGGCGGCCAGGCTGGGCTCAGGGTGGACACCCGTGGGCGGCGGCAGCCGGGCACTGGGGCGCCTGCCAGTCACTGGTGAAGGGAACGGGCCCCGTGGGCTTGGCTGCAGGCCTGGGCATCCTCACACCCCTCTCACTGGTGTGCTTCCCTTGGGCTTGCAGGAAACGGGCGGTGCCGAGGCCATGGCCAAGGGCGAGCTCCCCCTGCTGCGCCAGCACTCGGTCTCCAGCATCAGGGAGCTGACGCCCTTCTTCACCACGCTCAGCTCGGCCTTTAAGACCCAAAGTCAGCTGCCTGCCGACGCCCCGGGGGCCCCGACCTTGGAGTTCCCCGTCACGGACAGCCCAAGGCTCCTACAGCAGCTGGAAGAATGTGTGGAGTGCGATTTCTTGGAATATCCGGAATGTTGACGTTAGAAGGGCGCGTCTGTGGGTACTTCGCTGCAAACCAGGACACGTCCTAAAGGAGCAAAGACTTTCAATCAAGTCCAGTCTGCTGCTGCAAGTTCATTCCAATCCCTTTCTGTTCAGCCACAAAACACGCACACCCCGGAATGCCTTGTAAGATATTTGGGTCTGATTCTGTGTTTCCTCCTCAATGTATGTAATGGAAATAAAATTAATATGTCACCCAGCAGTGGCACAAAAGCTGTGACGTGAGCAGAGCACGGGACGAAGGAGCCGCTCCCTTTGCTGAAGCAGAGATGTGACCTTCCTCAGGAGATTTCTCGCACAGTGTAAGCTTATTAAAGATAATTATTTTTCACCTTTCGCACAAACGTCTTTTCAAGCATTTTATTTTGGTTCTGCATCTTCCAACCGAAGCATTTTATTTTCTGAGACGAATTGCCCATGCCCCACTCTTGTCCGTGGAGGTCAGCATCCGCACCGTGGAAACACGTGGAAGCGCAGCGTCGACAGCGTTTGGCTGCTGTGACGTGAGCGGTGCGACACCAGCCACCTCCTGAGCACGCTCTGTTGAGTACAGAGCTGTCAGCCACGTCGTGGGGATCCCAGTGTCGGGAAACATGGCAGCCAGGGCCACCCCTCCGCAGTCGCCCCTGCCGCTGTCCACTCCTTGCCACGTTGCAGGCCTGGCCGTGCGTTCCCATGACCCCTTCCCAGGCGCGGGAGTCTCGGGCGTGGCAGCCTCTCTGCCCATGCTGCGCACCCCGTTGCCTTCTGCCCACTACACCATTTAGCAGCCTGGCTGCAGCAACTGCTCCCAGGCGGGCCTTTGCACACCCTGCGTGCGTGAGCCCCATTCACCTCCCAGGCCTGCCCTGCTCCCATCTCCTGGGTGTTTCCCATCCATCCCCAGCCAGAGGGATGCAGTCTGCCCTGATGTGCGCTCCCAGGCCCACCCCCACTATGCACAGGGTTGCTAGACGGTGACCAACGCAAAGTTTCTCGAAGCACCTTGATACTTAGAAGTTGTACAGTTGCGGCCAGCGCCGTGGCTCAATAGGCTAATCCTCCACCTAGCGGCGCCGGCACACCAGGTTCTAGTCCCGGTCGGGGCGCCAGATTCTGTCCCGGTTGCCCCTCTTCCAGGCCAGCTCTCTGCTGTGGCCCGGGAGTGCAGTGGAGGATGGCCCAAGTCCTTGGGCCCTGCACTCCATGGGAGACCAGAAGCACCTGGCTCCTGCCTTCAGATCAGCGCGGTGCGCTGGCCGCGGCGGCCATTGGAGGGTGAACCAACGGCAAAGGAAGACCTTTCTCTCTGTCTCTCTCTCTCTCACTGTCCACTCTGCCTGTCAAAAAAAAAAAAAAGTACAGTTGTGTGGGTAGCATTCCGGGGCTGCAGGGCCACTCAGTGGCTTACGTAAAACACCACTAGATTCTTTGGATTATAGTACATGTACTTGCTGGAAATGATGTCCCTTTGGTGTGCAAGTTTTGGTCACTAAAATTTAAAATACCAAAGCGTAGAATTGTAAGTTCTTGTCGTTGCTTATGCTCTGAGATCCCTGTCATTCAAGTTGTAACACTCTGATGCGAACATCAAGGAGGAGGGCCGCAGGGGGTGAGAGACAGGCATGGAGCTCCTGGCTCCTCGTTGGGGCTTACCCAGCCCGCCCAATAAGTCTTAAAATAAATAAAAAATAAAAACTGTATTCGGGGCCGGCGCTGTGGCGTAGCGGGTAAAGCCGCCACCCGCAGTGCCGGCATCCCAGTTGGGTGCCGGTTCGAGTCCTAGCTGCTCCACTTCCGATCCAGCTCTCAGCTATGACCTGGGAAAGCAGTAGAAGATGGCCCAGGCCCTAGGGCCCCTGCACCTGCACCCAGAGGAGGCTCCTGTCTCCTGACTTCGGATCAGCCCAGCTCCAGCCGTTGCAGCCATTTGGGGAGTGAACCAGTGGATGAAAGACTTTCTCTCTCTGCCTCTGCCTCTCTGTAACTCTTTCAAGTAAAATAAATAAATCTTAAAAAAAAAAAAAAAAGGGCAAAGGTCTTAAGTAGACATTTTTCGAAGAAAGTATACAAATAGCCACAAGCACATGAAAAGATGTTCAACACCACTTATCATCAGGAAAATACAAATCAAACCACAAGGAGATAACAACTTACTCATTGACTACTGTCAAAAACAAAACCGCCGCCTATGACGCAGGCATTGCACATGGGCGCCAGTTCACGACAGGACTGCTCCACTTCCCATTCAGCTCCCTGCTAATGTGCATATTTGTTTGAAAGGTGGAGGTAGAGGGAGGCAGAGAGACAGAGATGTTACCTCCTCTCCATCTCCCTCTCTGTCCCCCAGAGCTAGAAACTGATTTTTCAAGCCAAGGCAAATTTTGCCTCTGTTGGTAACATAGCTACAAAATGCATCAGAAAAGAATCACGGGATTTGGGGGCTGACATTGTGGTATAGTGGGTAAAGACAACACCTGCAGCGCCAGCAACCCACATGGCCATGGGTTCGTGTCCTGGCTGCTCCACTTCTAAGTCCCTGCTAATGGCCTGCTATGTGGGACCCCAGAAAATAAAGCTCCTGGCTCCTGGCTTTGGCTTGGCCCAGCCCTGGCCATTGCAGCCATCTGAGGACAAAACTAATGGATTGAAAATATTTCTTTCTCTCTCATTTCTCCCCCCCACCACCACTCTGCCTTTCAAATAAATAAATTTTAAAAAAAAGGATTTTTAAGTAAACTGTGTGATGTAACTGGCAAACACCACATTTGATAAGGGGTCTCATGTACAGATGGTCGTGTGCTGTTCATTGAAGATGATCTGAATGTGTGGAATACAACAGATCCAGGCCTTGGCACCCAGTGGCTTCTTTATTATTCTGAAGTCTTAGAATGTGAACTATTTCCTGGTTGAGAAAACACAGATACAGGTTAGCCCCGAGCCAGTGTGGCTCCTGCTTGTAATCCAGACAGAAACTGTGAGTACTGTCAAAGCTCCGATAGGCTCTGTGCCCTTACATTACCTTTTTTTATTTTTTAGATTTATTTATTTTGGAAGAGTTAGAGGAAAAGACAGAGATTGATACTCCATCTGCTGGTTTACTCCCCCAGATGGCTACAACAGCCGGTGCTGAGCCAGGCTGAAGCCAGGAGCTTCATTCGGCTCTCTCACCTGGGTAGCAGGGGCATTAAACTCTGGGCCACCTTCCACTGCTTTCCCAGGCCATTAGCAGGGAGCTGGATTGGAAGTGGAGCAGACAGAACATGAACCTGCGCTTGTGTGGGATGCCAGTGTCGCGGGCAGCGGCTTTTTTTTTTTTTTTTTTTTTTTTGACAGGACAGTGAGAGAGAGACAGAGAGAAAGGTCTTCCTTTACCGTTGGTTCACCCCCACAATGGCCGCTGCGGCCGGCGCACCGCACTGATCCAAAGCCAGGAGCCAGGTGCTTCTCCTGGTCTCCCATGGGGTGCAGGGCCCAAGGACTTGGGCCATCCTCCACTGTACTCCCTGGCCACAGCAGAGAGCTGGACCGGAAGAGGGACAACCGGGACAGAATCTGGCACCCCAACCGGGACTAGAACCCGGTGTGCCAGCGCCTCAGGATCAGCCTAGTGAGCCGCGGCGCCGGCCAGCAGCGGCTTTATGTGCTTCACCACACTGCTGGCCACATGTGCCCATTTATTTAAAGGCCTCATATTCTGGGTTCGGTGTTGTGGTGCGATGGGGTTAAGTGCTGCCTGCAGTGCCGGCATCCCATATGAGTGCTGGTTCCAGTCCCAGCTGCTCCACTGCCAATCCAGCTTCCTACTAATGGCCTGGAAAAGGCAGTGGCAGATGGCCCAAGTGCCTAGGCCTCTGCTACCCATGTGGGAGACCCACATGGAGTTCCTGGCTCCTGGCTTCTGCCTGGTTCAGACCCAGCTCAGCCATTTGGAGAGTGAACCAGGATGGCAGATTTCTAACTTTGCCTTTCAAACAAATAAATCTTACAAAAAAAAATGCATTCAAAGTGAAGCTCACCAGTAGTAGACACTCCCAGATTAGAGTTCCTTTGTGTCTCCCAAGTACCCTGGGCAAGGCTTATATTTGCCCAAAACTCCCACACATGCACAGTGTTGGGTAAACCTCCATGTGCAGTAACATCTGGATCACTTACCTTTGTGTCCCTGCAGATACAACCATAGCTGATTCTAGAGCCTCATGAACGTCTCTAGGACTTTTTTTTCACTGTTTATTTGAAAGGCAGAAAGACAAAAAGGGAGGCCGGCACCGCGCTCACTAGGCTAATCCTCCACCTAGCGGCGCCAGCACACCGGGTTCTAGTCCCGGTCAGGGCGCCAGATTCTTTCCCGGGTGCCCCTCTTCCAGGCCAGCTCTCCCAGGGAGTGCAGTGGAGGATGGCCCAAGTGCTTGGGCCCTGCACCCCATGGGAGACCAGGATAAGTACCTGGCTCCTGCCTTTGGACCAGCGCGGTGCGCTGGCGGCAGCGCACCAGCCGTGGCAGCCATTGGAGGGTGAACCAATAGCAAAAGGAAGACCTTTCTCTCTGTCTCTCTCTCTCTCACTATCCACTCTGCCTGTCAAAAAAAAAAAAAAAAAAAAAAAAAAAAAAAGACAAAAAGGGAGAGACAGAGAAAGCGATCTTCTATCCACTGGTTCACTCCCCCAAATGGCTGCAATAGCCAGGAGCTAGGATTCCATTTGAGTTTCCCATGTGGGTACAGGGGCCCAAGCACTTGGGCCATCTTCTGCTGCTTTTCCCAGGGAGTTGGATGAGAAGCCAAGTAGCCAGGATGATGAGGGAGGCCGGGCCCTCTGGTGCTCTCCAAATGGAAAGCTGTAAGGCAGGGTTCAGTCCTGGGCTCAGACAAACACAAACACACAAGGCTTCTCGTCATTTTGGTACTTGAAATAATCACTTGGCTTTTTCACTTCAACATGAGAGCTGTGAACTGTCCCTCTTTGTGACCTGGAATAATCTCCTAAATACTTGCTGTTTTCTTTAAGGAGCTTTAAAATGCAGGATAAGAGGCCTGGCATTGCGGCCTAACAGGTAAAGCTGCCACCTGCAATGCTGGCATCCCATATGGCCGCCAGTTTGAATCCCAGCAGCTCCACTTTTGGTCCAGCTCCCTGCTAATGGCCTAGGAAAGCAGCAAAGGATGGCCCAAGTGTTTGGGACCCTGCCACCCATGTGGGAGACTCAGAAGAAGCTCCTGGCTTCAGCCTGGCCCAGCCCTGGCCCTTGCAGCCATCTAGGGAGTGAACCAGCAGATGGCAGATTCTCCCTCTCTCTCTCTCTCTCTCTCTCTCTCTCGCTAACTCTGACTTTCAAATAAATAAATATTTTTTAAAATGCAGGATA